TTTTATTTCTGGGTGCAGTATCTCTTTAAAGACAAGCGGCAGAATATTATTACTGTCTCTTTAAGAACTCCACGCGAGTAACGCGACGCGTCTAATATACACGCATTTGACAAGCAGATTTTCTCTGTTTGCTTTCACTTTAGACATAACCAACTTTGTTTATGTAAACCTTGTGTGTATTTGACAGTATCAGCGCAATAAGACTCGAAAGATTAGTCCAGTATGCAGGCGCTGTGACAGGCTTTAGTTCCTGTGAGCGTCGGGTGTAACGCGCTCAGAAAAGCGGATGTTAGAACAGCGCATCAGCACGTGAATGACATGTTTACCTAGCAAGACTTTGACGCACATGCAAACAATGAACTTTTGTGAATTGCGGTGTCCCGTGAGTGTAACTCTACCTCTGCGTTTACATGTGATGTGATGTGAATGTACGTCGCGTTGTACAGTATGTTGAGATGAAGGCGCCAGAATTGAACTGATAGAATGCACGATACTATGATTTTTCTTCAAAAGCAGATAGTGGAGACATTTTAATCGTCCACGATCAAAAACCGTGAGACGCACACCCCTAGTTGGAAGTTTAAGTTGCTGGCGCTCATGCTTCGTTCACGGTCGTCACGTGCGCATAGGAAACACGCCACCCTATCGGCAAGACTCATCGGCAGAAATATTCATATCGGCCGATGCCGATGATGGTCATTTTAAGCTTTTATCGGCCGATACCGATGTTGTCCCGATATCATCGTGCATCCCTAATAAACATACATAAGTCCATTAGCAGATCTAGGCAGGTGGAGCTGGGGGAGGTGGAGGGTTTTAGAGGAACTCTGATAGCTCGCTGCAGGAATACTCTACAGCAAACACTAAACCAGACTATTTAAATGTTTAGCAAGCAATCTCATTGGCTACAGGATCAGCAGAGGCCAATCAGTTTGTTCCATGCAGTAATAATGTGATTATTACTGACATGTCACCGACATGAGGTGGGTGTTGTGAGGTTTTGCGCTCGTGCACGGCTGCACGTGAAGTCGGAGCTGAAGAAGAAGCCAGCGTCTATCAACGAACCCATGTCGGTGATTGGTTGGAACACTATTTATTTTGGTTTTGAGTGGTTGGTGAAACCAATTGTTTTTGTGTGCAGATCTCAGAGCCTAGACTGCTTACAGAGACGCGTTTTTTTGATGGCCTGCTTATGGGGCGGGCAGCTATCGGATCATTAGCAAAGATTAGATGAATGTGATTATTTATGTTTGGGTCTTTTTTGGGCCTGAAATTGCTGATACAACCTTTAATATAACAGCTTCGAAGTCATTTCGATGGTAAACAAACTCGTAGTAGGGCGAATCATCCCGATAGCAAAGCAGGGGGGGACACCGCTGGCAAAACCAGCAATGCAGGTTTGAGAGGTGGCACCAGCAAGTAGAATCACGACTTGCTTTATGGCACGACGTTACATACATCAACAACATATGAAGCAGCCTCTATGGAAGACAGTAGCACACATTTCAGAATCATGACTGAGTCGATGAAGAAAACTAAGAAAGCTCGGTCGGAAGAGTGCAGAGACGTTAAATACAAATACTCCACAGCGACTCTAGGGGTCGCTGTTTGACAAAACCGGAAACTGCATAGTATGCCTTTAAAGATGGGACTGATGCCATTCTCTTTGATAGTTGTGATACAACAAGGTCTCTTGAATAAATACACAGTAATGCAATGTTTTCTATGAAGACACATTCAGCAGAAGTACTGCCTTTGCACACAGTAGTTCTTCATAACAGTGGGATAAAGATGGCTTTAGTGTTTAGTGTTTGTTCACTCTCATTTTCTCTCCCTCACTCCCTCTTGCTCGCTAAACATCATTGTTCTCTTGTACTTTTTGAAAAGGTCTTGCTAACACATTCTCAGGCTGTTATTTTGCATTGATTTAGCCTGTCAGGGTAATTCTAGCTTGGCTTCTGTGATGGATGGAGGCAAACAACTTGTCTCCAATTCCGGCATTGTGTGCTCTCTCTCTCTCTTTCTCTGTGCCTGCGGCAGTTACCTGCTTTAGCACGTCAGATGGGCTGACTTTCTTTGCTGATGATATCTGCTTCCATGCACAGGTCAAATCAATGCCCTCTCCTTTCTTTAACCTCAGGACGGTTATTTTTGCTACAACATTTTGTCTTTATTAGGAGGAAGAGTTAGCAGAGATTATATGATCTGAGATGAGAGGAGGAGACATCAGGGTGTAGTTTTCTTGGAATCAATGCTTTAGGCTTTTGGCTTTATTGCATTAATCTGGTCCATTGTGGTCTTAAATTCAGCCAAAGCGGTCCCCTTTGCAACTGCCGTACTTTAATGTAATACAACTGAGAGCAGAGCATTATGTGATTGTATTATTTATCATACATAATAGTAAATGTAATATACTGTATTTATTGCATAGTAATCATACTTCAATAGTAGTTTATTAGTATCTATCTATCTATCTATCTATCTATCTATCTATCTATCTATCTATCTATCTATCTATCTATCTATCTATCTATCTATCTATCTATCTAGGCCATCAAAACCAGTTTAAATCAGCAATTGACCACTATTGGCTGTGTTTTATTAGTGCAGTCACCAATATTAATGTTCTTTGAACAAAATACCAATAAACAACTTCAACACAGTGATATCACTCAATTATGCAGCCTGTTTAAGTGAATTGAACATGTCCTTCTTGCTTCCATTCAAAGCTCTTATTGCTAAAGCTATACAGTTTAGTCACATTGTCAGGGTGTATTAGTGGTTAAAACTCCCTGGAGCAAGTATCATGGTAAGTCGGTATCAGTTCTGTCTGTCCTTCAACAGGCTGCTGTCTGAAAGATAATGCTCCTTCTCGGGAGAGTTTAAGTGCTATTAAAGAATTCAATGCTAACAACATTAACCACAAGGTCATTCAATTTAACCATTTCTCAGGAGCACTGCTGCTGTCTATTACTCCAGAACAACCCTGATGTTTGTTTAAAGCACCAGGCTCTGCTTAATAACATACCAGCTGCTTTCAGATTCAATGCTTTAAATAATATGTGAATAATTCATTGGATGGTAATAGTGTTTTTAGCCCCAAGCTTCCTGAAAAGGGGTGAAGGGGCAATAAGGAGACCATGGAGACAGTTGAGATGGTGAAAAGATATGATGTTTCTGAGAGAGAGAGAGACTTTGTGTCTTCGTTTTCTTCATTCTATGTTTATAGTGGCACATATTTAAATCTGTTTAAGTGCCATTTCATCACAAATAAATATTTTACAAGGAATACTTTTAATGGCAAGCTCTCAAACGTTTCTCGCTTTGACCTAAATTACATTCACAAAATTAAAAGAATATGAATAATCACACTTCAATTTGACTAACTGATGAATAATTAGTTGTTGCAAAGTATTTGCGCTTGTGACAGATATTTAAATTGCCAATCAAAAGTCTAAATTTTTTTTTTAAAGAAATGCCTAATTTTATTCAGCAAAGATTAATTCAATTGACTAAAAGTGACAGTAAAGTAACACAAGATTTCTATTTCAAATAAATGTTGTTCTTTTAAACTTGTTGTTTATTTAAGAATCCTGAAAAATTGTGTCAGTTTCCACAAAAAAAATTAAGCAGCACAACTGTTTTCAACATGGATAATAATAAGAAATGTTTCTTCACCATCAAATCATCATATAAGAATGATTTCTGAAGGATCATGTGGCGCTGAAGACTGGAGTAATGATGCTGAAAATTCAGCTTTGACATCACAAGACAAATTTTCTAAAATATGATCAAATAGAAAATTTTATATTGTAATACAATTTCACAATCTTACTCTTTTCACTGTGTTTTTGATCAAATACATCTTTCAAAAACGTTAAAAATCGTTCCGACCCCAAACTTTTGAACAGTGAGTATATTTGCTAATAGTGTGTCATAGAGCTGTTTGCCTGGCGGACATTTACTGTATATTTGGAAAAGATTTAGCTTAGAACAATTTGTCAATGGTGGCAAATTGCAGAAAAGCTGGAAAACCAACAGTCATTCATTATTAAGGAACTGTAGGATGTATTAATAAGTGAATTAATTAATCTATAAAGTCAAGATGAATAAATGAATGAAAATATGAAGAGACAAATCAATGAAGATAATATAGTGTATCAAATCAAGGCACCTGCAGCTGTCAGCAGTTTTGTTATGCTTGGTGTGTGCAGGGTTTTTATGCAGTAATTATACATCACTAGAGGCTAGATTTTAGCCCACTAAAATATTCAGGTACTTCATGAACATTTTATTAGCAAAATTACTCCACACAAGTGATCAGGACCAATACCTACTTTTCTGACCTCACTCCCTGCTGGAAACTTTTCTTTCTTTCCAACACACACACACAAACACCACACATCATCAAAAACATATACTCAATTATTTTTAAGGTGTATATACTGATGTTTTGCTCATGAGAGGTTATGTTTGAATCTGTCAACAAAGAGAAAATAAGTAAAGGGCAGTTGCTAGAGGAATGGTTAATACATTTTAATGTAGTGTTTGTGTGGGTGTGTGTATTTGTTTGTTTAGCCGTTCAGGAATCTGACAGTGAGACTCATAAATTCTTGACAGAATCCCGGGAAGGTTTTCGCTTGGAACCCCTATCATATTGAGGATGTTTACCGAAAGCTTGTTTACACACACACACACACACACACACACACACACACACACACAAAACGACACCAGCAATGTGAAACGCTTTTTTTTTCTATTGGGGAATCGTGCCTCGGTGTAAGATTTCCTTTTTTGTATTACTGACTGAACAATGTTTCTTATTCCTTTTGCATAATACAAAAGAGAGAGATGATTTGGGAATCAATTCTTTCCAACAGCACCAAAGGCAATTATTGTGCACGTGTATGAAAGAGAGATAAAGGGAATGAAAGAGAGCGCAAAAGATAAAGAGAATGAGGAGCTTAACCATGGTCGATGTTCTTTTTTTTTTCCAGCTAATGTTGGGGCCTGCTTTCCGAAGCAAGGTAACCACACCAGCCACTCCCATATCTCCTCATGTCGGCCTGCCTCTGGCCAATCAGGTTGGCCTGTCATTTTGTTCCTCTGGTTTTGTCAATTGTATGTCAAAGTTTTGTCTCCACATACTGCCCGACCACAACGAATTGGTGTTGTCTGCGTGCCATGTGCGTTAGCTGCTGTTCTGGGCCGTCTTTATGAGCGAGAGAGGGGGAAAGAACGAGAAATTGCAGAGGGAAGCTTGTTTACACACACACACACACACACACACACACACACACTAAATGTGCATTAGGTTGTGCCTCTTCCCCTTGGAGGCAGTTTGGGAATGTATGTGTGCTGCTCTGTCAGAAACATAAAAACACATTAAGTTTGCACATTCAAACTGAGGGGGCACGTAAACCAAGGTGTCAAGTTTTGGCTGGTTAGCATGGTTTAGCTGGTAGATGCTACACAGTCTGGGAACTACCCATAAGACTTTTTTCTTTAGAACACAAATGAAGTTATTCACTCATAATTTCTGTCCATCCATTGAAAGTCCACGCAACCAAAACGTTTAGACATAAAAAGTACAAAAAGACATTGTAAAAGTAATCGATATGAATGCGGTTTAGTTTAAGCCGTCTGAGAAGACAGGATCGCTTTATATGATGATCAGATTTAATTTATCATATAAACATTGATGCACAAACATATGTGCATAAACATGCATAAACATGGAGTACATCAAATATGGTAATCACATGCACAAGGTTTGTTTGATTACTTTTGCAATGTATTAATTTGAAGCGTGAACCTTTTTTTTGCATGGACTTTCAATGGAGGGACAGAAATCTCTCAGGTTTTATTAAAACTATCTTCACTGAGTTGAACAAAAAGATGAACAAAAGTCAAATGGGTTTGAAACGACATGAAGGTGAGTAAATGATGACACAAGTTTAATTTTGGGGGGTGAACTATCCTTTAAAGTTGCTAAAAATTGCTCAAAAGTTGTTGTTTTTTCCTTTGGCCTCGTCTAGGCCACAAAGTGAGCCAGAACTACCACCGGTGCCCCCTCAAAAAATTGTACATGACTCCCTGTAGTTATGTTTTCCAATGCCTTTCTCTCCCAGCTTATTTAAAAACACACTTTTTCATGTGTGTATACATGATTGTGCATGCGGAGGGTTGTGATCCAGCATGTGTCCTGTCCTCAGAAAGCAAGGAACGCCACTTCAGATGACAAAGGCGAACCGACAGGCAAAGCAAAATGTAATCTCTTACAGAGAAATTTTGTCTCCATTCTTTTCTCTGATCTATAGCTCAGTGCTTTTGCTTTTCCTTAGTTCCCTCTTTTCGACTAAACCTGAGATCAATAGCACTGCAGGGAGCAGACACTCGCTCTTGTGCTCTTTTCTGTTGTAACAAGTCTAACATCTCATCCCATTTCTCTCTCTTCCTCCCCTTCATCCCATTCTCCTCCACCGTCTGTCTCTGTGAATGCATTTGCGCTGTTGCCTGCATGCGTGTGGTCGTGCATGACCGTATGAATGCGTGTGTGCTGGTGCCACACTTCTCACATTCCTCAACTCCTCGTCCCCCTTTCACCCCTCTCTCAAACCAGACCCGGAGCGTGGCGGAGGCCACATGATCTCCACCGATGACCTGGAGTACCCGCGTGAATATCGCACGTTGGGAAACAGCGCGCGCCGCTTCTCCAACGTGGGGCTGGTCCACACCTCTGAGCACCGGCACACGGTCATCGCCGCCCAGAGCCTGGAGGCTCTCACCAACCTGCACAAGGCCGACATGGAACGCAAGCGGGACGCTTTCATGGATCACCTGAAGAACAAGTACCCACCCCAGCACTCCCTACCGCCCTCTCCATCCCCCTCACACGGCAGCATGAGGGGCACCTCGGAGAGAAACGCACGTGAACAGGTATGTACAATGCTTACCTTGTATGATGTTGCTGGATAAACATTGTTGTGATGGAACAACATCCTGATTCACCAATCATATTCCAGGGTCAAGATTAGGGCTGGGGCTTGAACAAAAATCATATCAAACCCCCATGGTTTTAGAGGTAGTTAATGGTTGGGGATACAGATTTGTATTCAATATTTATTTTATTTTATATTTTATTATTTTATTTTATTTAGTTTACTTTTGTATTTTTTAATTTTATTTATTTTATTTTCTTACTACTAATAACTGTTATTATTTTTATTAAGACTATTTTTGTTGAATCAAGTGATTATTTAATAATAATAATAATAACTTGAATATGCAGTATGTTCTATTAATGTAGTTCTATTTAAAACATTTTTGTTTGTTTATTTAATTTAGGTTTTTTAAATACATATTTTCAATCTATTTTTTTATTAAGCGGATGTCATTGAATAGCATAGATGTGATATTGTACACTACTGTTAAAACGTTTTATTGTTTTTAATTTTTTTATGTTTTTGAAAGAAGTCTCTTATGCTCACCAAGGCTTATTTGATAATTTAAAAAATACAGTAAAAACAGAAATATTGTGAAATATCACTACATGGTTTTCAATTTGAATACATTTTATAATGTAATTTATTCCTGTCATGTCAAAGCTGTATTTTCAGCATCATTACTCCAGTCTTCTGTGTCACATGATCTTCAGAAATCATTCTAATATGATGATTTGATGCTCAATAAATATTTCTGATTATTATTAGTGCGTGTACGTGCAATCGGAAAAATGGACACACGTTGGACATGTTTTTGGTTCAACATCCTTGCTTGTTCCTAAAATAACACTGTTATCAACCAAGCGTTAGCATCTGATTTTAGGTGATGTAAGGGTGAGGGCTGTGATTAGTTAATTATTGCCTTTTTATTTAAGATTAAGTCTCTGATTGGTTGTTAGGAATATTTTTTCCAGGATGTTGATTCAGGAACATTATGCGGCTTGTGTAAATTACATTAAGCATGCATGGATACATTTTCACACACACACAAGATGCACAACACAGGGTTTTGAAATTCTATCTATCTAAGAGGTCTTCTGAAGGAGACATTGACGTGTACATATAAACACTTCAGTCACTAGTGGCATATAATTAATATATGCGCCCATCTTCCCAACTTTCACACAGCTTGTCATTGAAACATTTTGTACTCTCCCTAGAAAATAGGCAGTTGTAAGCCAGCGAAACAGCAGTCACTCTGAGAGTGGAACAACTGGTTCTTATGGAGGAGGGTGACGTAATGTTGAATTCAAAAATGGATGATGTCACTGCATCAAACCAGTATCAGCCAATCAGCTGTGTACATGAAAAGAGAGAGAGAGACACGCAGGTAATAGACACATTGACGCTCAAGTCTGTCAAAATCCGCCTGCGCTGATATTTTTAGAGGGATGAGTGTTGAAAAAGAGGCTTTATTGCTTCAGTCTTCTAATTATACTCATCAGCCCTTTATCTCTCCATCTATGTATCTTCTATATAGAAAATGATTTACTGTGCAAGCTTTTTTCTTCTTGTTCTTTTTTTTACTTTGACCTGCAGTTCTGTTCACCAGCATACTGTGTTGTGGTTGCTTGTATAACGGTGTCCCTACCAGGTTTCTTAACCTAGTTTTAAGGGATAGTTAAGCCCAAAAATGCAAATTCTACCATTATTTACTTACTCTCATGTCATTCAGAGAGCAGAATGGTCTATGTAAAGCCGATATACATTACATTATTTATATTAAAGAATAAAACATGCTACAATTAAGTTTATTATTTACAATTAAAATTTACAAATTACAACAGAACAGTTAAACAAAGACATTAAACTAATGAAGATGAAGAATGAGAACGTTCTTAGAGCTTTCAAAATGAAAGTCCAGATGTTACCAAAATAAAAGTCTGGCTCTGAACACCACTAGTTTAAATGTTGCTCTCTTCCATGCAGTTATAATGACTGGCATCAAAAAAAGATGCAAAAGCATCTATATTTCGTATCTATCTATATTTTACAATTGTAAGGGATCATAAAACTACTACATGACTGACTACTACTTGAAACTGAAACTACTACATGACTGAAATTTAAATCGAAACTTGACACTTGAAAGCCACCCTTATTGACTACAGCGAACAGCACAATCCTTCTGTTACACTGCAATTCATGAAGGTTTGAAACAATTTTGGGGTGAACTATCCATTTAACTAGCTTGATCAGATGGTTGACCAGCATGTTTTGTTGGCAAACAACATAGCTATGGTAGTCCACTATCTAAACTAGCACCAAAAACCAGCATACACATGGAAAGCTAGTCTTTTCAGCAGGGCTGTTTCAAAAGTCTCTCTTTGTCTTTTTATCACCTATTTTACGCTCTTTCATCCTCATGTATCTGATTCTCATCACAGTATATACCTGTGTGTGACACTAATGCCCGGCGAGTGTGTGAGATGATAGGATCAAATGAGAGAGAGAGAGAGAGAGAGACAGACAGGGAGGTTGGGTGAGATACAGGTGGAGTCCATAGTTGCCAAGGCAACACCGTCCTTATATGGAAACTGGTGATATCATATTGCAAAGGTCAGGCTGGAGAGAATGAGAAAGCGATAGAACAAGGAATGAAGAGAGTGTGTGTGTGTGCGTGTGTGTGTGTGTGAGAGAGAGAGAGAGAAGGCAACAAAAAACAGAGCGAAGAAAAAGGGGAAGGGTTTTGGAATATCCTCAACCTTGAAGGAAGACGCATCACAGGAATTCCTCCTTATTCATTTGCCTATCTGCAGCCTGTGTAATGGAAAGGGGGAGGGGAAGAGGAGGACAAGAAGAGAGGGAAAGAGCCGACAGATGAGTGCAACGGTGTGTAAACCGGCAGAAGGAGAGTTAATTACCCTCTGCCCGCCTTTTCCCGAGACTCCAGCACGGAAGAGTTAAAGCAGCAGCCAGTAGCCAGTCGATGCTGTAATGAATTAAATAAAGAACCTGCCGTCGCATGTGCTGGAGACGGAGAGAGAGGGCAGGAATAAGAGAATGAGTTGCACACCTGACAGCCAGCTGCTAAGACTGAAGGCATCTAGATAGTGTGCATGTGCATGTGTGTGTAGGGAGGACGCACACTCACTAGCGTACACGCATGCAGGTGCAGGTGAGATTCGACCTGACGACTTCATTTGTTTGGTTATTGCGAGATTGGTTGATGTGGTGACTGCATGGACACTAACTGGGTTTGATTTTTGCATATGTGTGTGACTAGTGTGAGTGTATGTGTGTGTGAATGTGCATGTCAGGGAGAGGGAACATGTGTGAATGGATGTATTTGTATGCGTGCGTGCATGTGTGTTCATGTGAGAGGGAAGGTAAGAGCTGTTTTGCATGCAGGTCAGGTGGTGTACAGCTCCGGTAGTCTTGCTGGGCTGACACATGTTTCTGAGAGATGGCAACTAATCACTGGATCAGATGCAACTAGTATTCATTGTTGTGTTTAGTGCACATGAGGATGTGCTTTTGCTTTAATAAAAATGCATTGGGTTGTACTGCTGATGTATATGTGCACATGGGGGCATTTGACCTGCAAACAAATGCCACCACGTTTCAGATGCATGCAGGAGGTGGATTTAAAGAGGACATGTTCTAATGCACTTTTGAAATATTTTTTTTATTTTTCCTCCTGAGTAATGCTAGTCAAAGATTGTTGCACAAAAAACAGTCATAATTTGTATTTCAATACCATTTAACCCTCTTAGCATTTAACATCAAACAACTTTTATTGTTACTGTACCTTTAAGAATGTAGGGTTGGGTTATGTAAATAACCTCTGATAGGTTAACTTCCATGTACCAAAGCAGTTCAGTGCTGATGCGTTTCTTGTGACCATTTTGTATTGAGGGTCTCTGATTTTGTGACTACATAAATTACTCTTTAAGCTAGTGCTTCAGTGCATATGTTGATAAAAAGGCACAATATTGTTATAAAATCTACTTCCAAATTTAAATCTCACAAGAAACAAGCAGAATGTTCAGTTATGTTGAATAACTGAATTAATCTACTTTGGATTGTGCCTATGTGATCTGTGTCTCTGCATGTTGATGTCAGGCAAATTTGGAGAAAGTTAGACTGTTTTCTACAGAAAGTGGCAAAGAAACACTTGTTTTAGAGCAGATTAGCATTTTTGGACTGCTTCCATAAGTGATTTGAATTATTTGATCCCTCTTTTATTGCTGTAAGTAGTGTTGTCCATCTAAAACTAATGCTAGTACCAGTCTGTGTGATGTAGGGAAGGAGCTTTACGTTCTGAAAAAAAAAAAGGTGTTGTACATAATTCATCCCTTTTTTAAATGTTTCCTTTCAGCTGCACCTGTATTATCTATTAACCCTTATGCATGCTGTTGATTTTCCGCTGGCAAAAGCAGCCTCAACTTAGACAGCCAATTATTCCCCATTTAGAGTAGTTTCTTAGCAACTGAGGATGCGGACCTCGTACTGCTCCATGGAATTCTGCTTGTTAGGGGAAAATAACATCACCAAGCCACAGCTCACCGGTACTTTGCAGTGCATAAATCCATAAGACGCTGAAGCGCCCCTCAATTATGACCTAATATGATGGTGTTGATAGTTGTGTTATTTCAGTTATTTATCAAAAGCTATGTCAAAGAGAGAAATTTAGGGCTGTCACATTGAAATGATTTAGGAGACTTTTCATTGCTGTGAATTTTTCACTTCCTCTGTGGTTTGGCCGGAGACCACAGCACAAATTGAACAAATGGCCGTGTGTGTGTGTGTGTGTGTGTGTGTGTGTGTGTGTGTGTGTGTGTGTGTGTGTGTGTGTGTGTGTGTGTGTGTGTGTGTGTGTGTGTGTGTGTGTGTGTGTGTTTGTGTGTGTGTAACCATACTTTTCAGACAATTTTCCTGAAATATTTTGCTAGGAGTTAGCTAAAGCTGACAAATCTCATTTTAGGGATGTCCTCAAAAGCAAAAGTGGTTCCTAAATAGATAATATTAATAATATTATGTATAATATAATACAAATAATATATATATATATGTGTGTGTGTGTGTGTATGCATGTATAGTAATTTAACATATTTACTTTGCTTTTGTAAATTCTATGAATTTGAGAATAAGTCTCATTTAATTTTATATTTTATCTAAAAATATGGCATTTTTTACAATAGAACAAAAAAATGAAGACTGAAAATATAATTAAATTCTAAAATGCATTGATCAGTCAAATTAAAATGCAATATTGTTGAATGTCTCTATTTACTGTAGATTCACTTTTAGAAGAAAGATTCTTAAAGGTCCCCTGACATGGGGTTATTTTATTATTTTATAATGTTTCCTGGGTTGCCCTTATAATGTTAGTATGTGTTTTAGATCAAAAATAGTCATAATTTAGAAATAAAAGGCATTTTCCTAGCCTGATTTTTAGTCTCTGTTTTGAACGCTCTGTTTGAAGGGGCGTGTCTGCTGTGGGATTCAGTGTAGCCAGCCACTGCTGTGATTGGCTGACATGCTTGCATATGAAATAGCTACATATTACATGTGAAACTCTCTCGAATACTTTTACTACAGCTATTATACATTTTACTATTACAGCTATCGAGATTAACGAATCGTGAGAAGTTTTTAAAGTATTTAGATCTATTCCCATCACATAAAATGTTGCCGTGATGAGCATTGAGCAAGCAGATGACAGATCGGGAGAATGAAGATCTTATTATTGCAACGCAGTTTCTGCACTCTCTCTAATGCTTTCACCAATGCTAACACGATGATGTACATACAGTAAGAGCTTCGTTGTGCAGTGTAACGTGCGTCATTGATTTCATAACGAGTTGTCCAGAAAAACTCGCGCTGTGTTGAAAGATTGTTCTTTGATCGCTTTCTGTATAATTTGTTCACAATTTAAATAAGATTATTTTCATCCTACTAAAAGAAACGATGTGAAGTTGATATTTTAGTCACTGGCTTGACTTACTGATGCATAAACAGTATTGAACGATTTTGAGAGAAAGATTAACTTAACTTACCTGTCTGAACTTGAACAATTACACATCAGAAATTGTTGCTTGGTAGCTCGATCGATTTATTTTCAGACGTTCATCGAGGCCAGCTCTGTATTGGCCCAAGTTGAGGAAACAGTCGTCGGTGAAATGTTTGGACCATACAAAACTTTGGGAAGTTGTGTCGGCGCATTTCCAGAGAAAATAAAATTAACCCATTGTTTCTTCAGAGGATCGGATGAAGGAACTATAAAATACTTTTGTGTTCATTTGTACATCCGAACACTGATCAACTGCCATGCTTCGCTCGTTTGCAAGCAATGATATCTCTCGATGAAAAACTCAAATCGCGCTCGCGCGTTCGTACTTCCTAGCTCATTTTCTCATGGGCGAGCCAAATTCTCTGGGCAGGCAAAGCAGAGAAAGGGGAGGTTACCTTTCCTCCGTATGACGTCATACGGAGGAGATTCAATATCAGCCCGTCTGAGCTTTCATTTTCTCAAAGGCAGAGAGAGATAGCCAAAGCTCGGTTTTCTAGCCACTGGGGGACCATATACAGGCTAGGGGAACTCATATTAATGTTAAAAAACCTCAGAAAGTGAAAATTTCATGTCATGGGACCATTAAAAAATACCCTCCCCACCTCAACTTTTAAAGCATTGAAATACAGTTGTATGTTATGAGTAGGGTTTAAAGATAAAGAAATAGTAATAGAAATAGAAATAGCCAAAAGCTTTTGCATTGTATCTATGCTGATAGGTGTCATTGTTACCCAGACAGCAACATAGTGTCGGCCCACATCTGGTACGCGTTGAATACACATGTACCAGATGTGGCCCGGATCTGGGCCGACACTATGTTGCCGTCTGGGTAAGGTCCACTGTTTTATCGTCCAATGAATCTTGAACATGAAATTACTTAATGTCCATTTCATTTAGATTTAAATGAATGTTTGTAAGTGTGTTGTATAGACTGGCTACACTGTCGTTCATTTTATGCTTGAGACAATCATGTCCCGCGTAATATTAGAGTGCTTTCGTTTGAAAATGCTGCTGGGAAATATTTAATATTACATCAATGAGCAGGCTCTTAAATCTCAAGCTGTTTCAAAGTACAGTTTATCCCCTGGATTGACCATCAACTACACAAAATGTTTGTCTTTAGGCTGAAGTTCAGTACCAGAACACCTCCTGGCAGCAATGCAGGTCCATCTGCCGCTCAGTAGTACCTGACATCAGGTAACCCAGAATCAGGCCCCATGGGTGAGGCCCTGCCCTTCTATCTGACCAATTCTGTCTGGAGGATCACGCTGAATCAATCATTAAAGCAGCCCAGACAAAGAAACCAGTTAAACCTGCTCCATAACAGATAAAACACAGGATCATTTGAGAAGGGTTGTTTGGTTTCCCAGAGATCAGCAGCACAGATACACTGACCAACACTAAAATATAAATATTATACAAAATATATATACACTTTTAATATATATATATATATATGTGTGTGTGTGTGTGTGTGTGCATGTAATACATAAGAAATATTTTATATTTTTGACCTTGTGGGGACATGTTTTTGGAAAAAAGGTAAAAAAGTTTTCTGTGATGGTTAGTGTAAGAGGATAGAATATACAGTTTGCACAGTATAAAAATCATTATGTCTATAGAAAGTCCCCATAAAACATGAAAACCCAGTGTGTGTGTGTGTCAGGTATTTCCTTTTTGAAGAGACTCTGATGCAATGTGTGTATGCTGGTGCCTTAACCTCAGCTTGTGGGTGTTTGTGTATTTGTCAATCTGTGAAAACAGGTTTGCTGTAGTGCTTCATGCCGTATATATTTTTCATATTGCTGATCCCTAGGGCAGTGCTCAGAACCAGGATGAACTGCACAAAGTTGAAAGCAGGTGAATGAATACAAAGAATATTATTTTACTAGAAATATAATGCTGAACTACTGCTATATGAGCAGTGTGCTATTATACACCGTTGACATCAACATCCTAGTTCAAGGCAAGGCAAGGCAAGTTTATTTATATAGCACATTTCATACACAATGGTAATTTAAAGTGCTTTACATAGAAGAAATAAAAAAATCAAAAGAAATAATAATAATTAAAACAGTTTAGAATAAAGAAATTAAAATAATCAAAACAAATAAGAATAATTAAAACCGTTTAGAATAAAAAATAAAATAAAGTACAGTAAAAACAGTCGGACGAACAGTGGCACAGTGCTCATTCAGTAAATGCATAGATAAACAGATGTGTTTTGAGTCTGGATTTGAATGTGACTACTGTAGGAGCACATCTGATCTCCTCTGGAAGCTGGTTCCAGCTGCGGCTGCATAATAGCTAAAAGCAGACTCTCCGTGCTTAGAGTGAACCCTTGGTATTTCTAGCTGATGTGATCCTAATGATCTGAGTGATCTGTTAGGTTTATATTCAGTGAGCATATCTGCAATGTATTTGGGTCCTAGGCCATTAAATGATTTATATACCAGTAATAATACTTTAAAATCAATCCTAAATGTAACTGGGAGCCAGTGTAAAGACCTGAGGACAGGTCTTTACACTTTTCCTTTCAAGGGAGTTTGTTCAACATATTTTTAGCCTTTTGTAGAAGGAAATATTTAGCTGATGTTTATAAGCTTCAAGCTTTTCAATTATGTTTTCCTCCCCAAATGTATGTTTGCACCCACACACGCCCTTTTAATCAGCTGATGATGTAGTCTAGCCTTGCACATGAAATATTGAAAGGTCTTGATCGATTAGGGTAGGGTTCATCAAATAACCGGCAGTCTGAGTTTTATTCAAAGAATATATGGGACCTCTGGGCACTTTAGGTCCTTTAATAAACTGAATTAAGAAAATTAACTCACATTCTCTCTAGTTTATTTAATTTGTCTTCTATCAATGTAACCAAACGAGTTACAGAGAACGTTAAGAAAATTACCAAGAAAAAAGACTACAACGGATTTAGCTGGTGACATCTCTGACTTTCTGTAAAAGTGAAGTTCACTGATGAAATGGGAGAGATAGGTGAAAGCTGCAGACAGCTGACCAATTTCGGTATGATTGATAGGTCTGGGCAGCAACCCAAGCATAGACACAGAGGGGATCTTTTTAATTCATTTTTTTCTCATTTGCGGAAATCCAGTCAGTTAGTCATTCAGGCAGGACAGCTGATGGACGGAGGAGAGAAAACTTCATGCAGGCTCATTTATGGGTCCAGCCCATTCAGAACAGCTCCATATGACGACCAGACTAGAGGAATTATGTGTCACTGTGTCACCATGTGCTTTAATGCCATTTTTAATCTGCAAAGCTGCATTTGAAGCTGCATATGTGCTGTGAAAAGTCTGTTTAATACTACATATACAGTATGCTACCATTCAAAAGTTTGGGGTATTTTTGTTATAAAGAAATTAGTACTTTTGATCTTTCTATTCATCAAATATTTTTTGTTTCTTGAGCATCAAATCATCATATTATCCCATCACTGGGATACAGTAATTTTTAAATATATTCATATAGAAAACAATTATTTTAAATTGTTATGATGTTTCACAATATTACTGTTTTTACTGCATTTCTGATCATGATGAGCATAAGAGACTTAATTCAAAAACATTAAAAATGTTCAATGAAAATATGAAATATAAATGTAAATTGGGCATAAATAAAAGAGTAACATTAAAATAAAATAATATAATTTAGAGTGAGTTGAAGTGAATGTTTGTCCAAATTCTCACTTAATTCTCACATGTGCCCTCTCTCTGTTCATGTCTTCCTTCACATTCTTTTATCACAAAAGATGTCACATGGTTGGAGATTGTGACTGTGGATAAGGTGTCACCACACACAGAGATAAATGTCTAAGTAACGCTCTCTCGTTTCTCCTTTCCATAGCAACAGCCAAACTATTGGAGCTTTAAGGTCAGTGCTTTGACTACATCTGTGTGTTCCTGTCACAAAAGCTCTGTTCTTGTAATATGTGTTTGTGTTCTTATATGTTCTTGTATGCGTTTCGACGTCTGTTGTAGGCCCACACTGAATCTGCACCAAGTTCTATACATCCCACTTTGAGTGTTTGTTTATTAAATATTTGAGCTAATTTGATTATGCTAAGACGAGTAAGTATCCAATTGCCTACTTTATTGGGCTTTCTTGTATCAGGTGTGTGTGTGTGTGTGCGAGCGAGCTTATTTAGCTGTACAATAAGGACAAAATTGTAGCCAAAAGTGAGATAAATCAAGGTCATTGATCTATGGGTCATGCGGGTCTGAGGCTGATTTGTGATGATCTGCTTCACTGGCTTTTATCTTCTAAATCTCATTGCCCTGTTCTTTCTTTCTATCTCCATCTATCTCTCTTTTACTTGCTTTCATTTTCTTACATACCTGCCCATCAAACTATTAAGCCTTACAGCTGAAGTCAACTTAATAGAACAAACACATGGGTCTCTATAGATGTTTTTAAAAACTGAACTTCTTTGTTGTCACAGCATCTTAAAAACCCATGGCACAAGACTCTAGGAAAAAATCATCAGGAAGCCACAACAGTGAGTACGCTGATGTTGGTTCAGAAACAGACATATATACTTACTCACTCCATCAAATCCCTTGTTGTTAAACCTGTATTATATTGTGAAAGATATTTATTCTAACAGGGATGAAATTTCTATTATATGTTATGTGATTAGAGATGGGTGTGTGTAATTGTACAAGGACACAGGAAATGGCCTCAGGCTGTGATAAACGTGTCATTAGAGTGAGACTCCGCAATCGGATCCTCCTGATTCCGTTCATTCTTATTCACTCTCACACTTATTTATTTGTGTTACACTCCTCCTGTCAATAGACAGACACTCATTCTCTATGTCTAGCATTAATGTTTTTTTGGAATTTGACTGATATCATGAAAAATCCAGCTACTATACAAACAGCATGTTTGAGTGCATAATAACATTGATTTCAGACTAATCAGGTCTAGTTGTGTTTCCATGCCAGTGTCTGTCTGCGTGTTGTTGTGTCTCAGTCAGGTTTTGTGAATCAAATTATTTATTTCTCTCATTCTAGACTAATGGACTCCCCCTGATCTGACCCTCCGCAACATTATACACCTCAAACTCTCATTTATCCAATACTTAATCTCAACATTTACTGTTGTATTAGTACCCTCAGGAATTATGGGCTTTTTGTGAGAAAAGTCAGGAAGAAATTTTGGCTGTGGCCTATGGGATACCCAGATACTCTGGGTTTGATTAGGGTTGGAGATAAACTGTGCAGGACAGTCGATCGGCAGGAGCAGGATTGGGCACCCCTGATCTAGATACTCGGCGTTCTGTATACTCGGACATCCTCTCCTCCCCTCTCCATCTCCTCTCCTTCTCCTCTCTCTCTCCTCTCCTCTCCTCTCCTCTCCTTCTCCTCTCCATCTCCTCTCCTCTCCTCTCCCTCTCCTCTCCATCTCCTCTCCTCTCCTCTCCTCTCCTCTCCTTCTCCTCTCCATCTCCTCTCCTCTCCTCTCCTCTCCCTCTCCTCTCCATCTCCTCTCCTCTCCTCTCCTCTCCTCTCCTCTCCTCTCCTTCTCCTCTCCATCTCCTCTCCTCTCCCTCTCCTCTCCATCTCCTCTCCTCTCCTCTCCCTCTCCTCTCCTCTCCTCTCCCTCTCCTTCTCCTCTTCTTCTCCTCTCCCTCTCCTTCTCCTCTCCTTCTCCTCTCCTTCTCCTCTCTTCTCCCTCTCCTCTCCTCTCCTCTCCTCTCCTCTCCTCTCCCTCTCCTTCTCCTCTCCTTCTCCTTCTCCTCTCCTCTCCTCTCCTCTCCTTTCCTCTCCTCTCCTTCTCCTCTCCCTCTCCTCTCCTTCTCCTCTCTTCTCCTTCTCCTCTCCTTCTCCTCTCCTTCTCCTCTCCTCTCCTTCTCCTCTCCTCATGTCCTGTTCTATTCTAGGTCTCATTTGCTTGTTCTTGTCATGGTAAGATGGATTGTCAGATGCTTTCAGAACATGTTTTCCTTTAGGTGCTGATGCTGAGCCCTAAACAGATGCCTGTTTAAAGCCAACATCTCCCCTGGCTGGTTACGCCATTTAAAATTAGCCTCTCTGCAAATTACTGTCAGAGTCGTGGTTTGTCGATTTGGTTCCTCTCTCATTCTTGCTGCCTTGTTCTTTACTATGATAGGTTTAAATCGTTGGAGCTAGTGATATGTTAACAGTGCAGAGAGGGCCCAAAGCTTGCCGTTGAGAGTGTTGGGGAGTAGCTAACTTCAAGCTGCGGTGCTACGAAGATAAACATTATGTAGCTTGACTATACTTAAGTTGTATTCCAATTTGTCTAGCTTTTCAAGTAATTATCATTTTTCAGGTAGCTCTTGGAAGTCTGATTCATTAGTGAATCAATTTGTGAGGATTCACAATTGATTCACTGGATTCCAACATAATATGTCTTTTTTTTTTGTGAAATGTTTTGCTAAATTCTGCTGCTTATCACGGTGATTTGTATGATTAGGTTATTAGGTTAAATATTTCTCAGATAAAACCCAGGCTCATTGGAAAACCGTACGTGTGACACCATTTCTGCAAAGTGGTATTGCTTCTTGCACGTTTCACGAGTTCACACTTGCATACAATTAGAGGGAGTAAAGTTTAATGCGTATTTGGCGTGCTGTCCGGGGGTGAAGGCTCCGAGCTCGGAATTCGGCCCGAACCCAGAGTACCCCTACCCCTAGCCTATAGTTAAAATATTTTAAGGGTCATAACATAGTATTTTGCAAGGAAAATAAGTCTTTAATAATCGATAATCTTCCCCTGTAATCATAATTAGTGTGAAAAGGAATAAAAGTTGTTGGTGTCTTACTGCCACTAGTGGTCATTTCAACTGGAAACTGCAGTGAATTGAAGAAATAATAATATTTATTTATGTAGATTCAATGTAATTAGCTTATTTATTTTCCAAAGGGTAACTAAAGTAATGTGACATGACAAACTACAACCTAGTTGCAATTTAAAATACTTCTCCACAAATAGTCATTACCAGATTGCTCTGTTGAGTGAGTTCAAGTAATCATAAAACTCATGTGCCACACAAATGGAGAAACACACGGGCGGACACACGTCGCATTGCCTGGATATCTGGTTTAGCATTATTTTTTAAAATGTTTTTGTTAAACAGTGTCGCACATTATCTCTTGTTTTGGGAGACATCTCACAGCTTGTCTTCCAACAGACAGTAAAGTTGTGCTGAACTAATCCATTTTCCTCCTCTTCTTCCCGTCTCTTCCTCTTATCATTTCAGTCATCATCATCGCTATTAGTCCCCAATGATAACTGCGGAGAATGCCGCCATTTTATGACCACCTACCAGCTTACCATTTCCCTGCTTTCTCTGCTTCTCTCAGCATAGGACAGAATAGGACAGCAATCTACTGCAATTTGCCGGAGCAATTTCTGCCATGCCTTCAGCCTGTGTCTAACAATAGCAGGAGAGAGAGGAGGATTATTCTCAAGAGCAATTATTTTCTTTCTTTCTCACTATCTCTATCATTGCTTTTCTTCATCTGCCTGTCTCTTTGTAATAGTTAATAGCGTTATTTTAATAAAATTGTGCACGTTATGCGTTATATTATATACTATGTCTCCCATCAACTTATCTGCAATTGACACACTTCTTTCAAGTATGGAAAAGAAATATGCCTCTCTCTTTCACTTTCTTTTTTCACACACATAAAAGAGGTTTCTGTAATATCTTAATTGTTACTCCTAGATGGCAATGCAATTAAATGGAGAACTAATGGAGACTTTTGTGTGTCCATACTCTATTTTCTCATGAAAAATAGATATTAGTAATCTCTGTGTTAGAATACAGATTTCAAAGCTCATTTTTGCATCAAATACTTGATGTGGACTATGATATCCATGTTAATTTTACTGCACTTCTACTGTATTTCAGCAATTGTCTTATTTGTGTCTTTTAATTTATTCGAAGGAATTTTAGGATACACATCTTAAGTTATAGTACGTATAGTACATTTTTGGAAGTTAATTTTGTTAAATCCTGTCAGTCATATTACAATAATACCTGTCTGCTTACCTCATTAATCCAACATCCCATCACCAACCTATTACACATTTATTTTAATATAATATCATGTATAATAATACAATCTAATATAGCTAAATAATAATAAAAGTAATAAAATAATAAATCCAGCAAGCCACATCTGTTTAGGATTATAAAACAAGTGAACAGGTGAATTAAACACAAGCGGAGAATTTGATCATGTCCCCTGAACTATCTATGAGTAATATTTGTGTATTAAAATGTTCCAGTATGCACATATCTCTGAACATCTAAAGAATGCGTGGTACTCACTATACTGAATGAGCGAATAACTAAGTGATTTCATACATGGCTATTCATGTTGCATTCAGTATCACTGCTTTTTTTTTTTTTTTTTTTTTGTGGATTTCCTAGGTTTGTTTGTATTTACCATAAACGTATGTAGTTCACTACAGTCCTGTGATGTCGGATTCTGTTACCTTCATTTCATTTTGTAGTCAGATGAATTTTGGCACGGGGTTGTCCTGTCCTCCTTCCTGCTGTTGGAACAGAACAGAGGTTGCGCGTGTCTGCGATGAAGGTGGAGATTTATTGCCGAGAATCCTACAGGGATCCCTGATTCTGTTTAATTCAGAAAATACAGCACTTTAGGAAGGTAATATGACACACAAGCTGACGCGTTTATTGACGCAAATACAAATTTGAAACGAAAGCGAGAGCTTGTGTGTTTATTGCATTTAACAAAAATCCATTTGAAAGCACATTAGCGCAAGAGAGCGAGGGAGATCTTGATTACATGGATGGTCTTAAGGGTGTTTTCACTCATAGTTTGTTTAGAGCAACGTGGTGTGTTTTCTCCCTGCAGTCTGTTTGTACCCACACCAAAACAATGGAGACTTTGCATTTTGTTTTCCAAGAGTCAGAATTAATCAAATACGTTGAAAAGCTCAAATGTATTTAATCTGTATGGTAATTATCAGCAGTTTACTGATATTATTCTGTTTGTGCTTTTACCTGCAGCAATCTACCCCTTCATTCCTTTGCGCTATATTTACCCGTCTTTGCCCTAAAATGTATTTCTTTTATTTTGATCTTACAGTGATTCTCTTTACAAAATTCTTCATATACTGTGCAGTCAAACCTGATAGCAGGTGCAGGTTAGTTCTATTTATAGCATTTAGCTTAACATAGAATAGCTATGGCATATTTGGCAGTGTGTCTCTTTGTGTAGATAAACATCGTCTTATTTTGTAGATGTATGTATGTGCGTTTGTGTATGTGTAGCACCTGGACTGCTCACTGTAGTGGACAAATGACCCCATTATAGTCACACTGGGGGGTCATCCATCAGCTCAGTTCTGGCCCTTTGTGCTCAGACACAGTTTGCAAGAGGACAACTATGCCACAGCCGCTGTGCCTCACCATTTGTGTGTGTGTGTGTGTGAGAGAGAGAGAGAGAGAGAGAGAGAGAGAGAGAGAGAGAGAGAGAGAGCTTGTACCCTGTGTGTAAACAACACACTCTGTTATGTGTTTTAAACTTAAACCTTTCTAAATGTTGTTTGATTTATGCTTAAAACAAGAAAAATACTTGCCAATAAGTTTAACTATAATTAAAAATGGTCTGTTCAAAAGTTTGGGTCAGTAAGATTTTTCAAATTTTTTATTCATTTTATTCAGCAAGGATGAATTAAAAGGATCAAAACTGACAGTAAAAACCTTTACATCCATTTTCAAATAAACGCTGTTCTTATTCACCAGACAATCCTGAAAAATGTATCATTGTTTTCACAAAAACTTTTCAACATTGATAATCAGAAATGTTTCTTGCATCAAATCATCATATTATTATGATTTCTGAAGGATCATGTGACACTGAAGACTGGAGTAATGATGCTGAAAATTCAGCTTTATCATCACAGGAATAAATTACACTTTAAAATATTTTAAAATAGAAATTGGTTATTTAAATTGTAATAATGTTTCACAATATAACTGTTTTACTGTATTTTTGATCAAATAAATGCAGCCTTGGCGAGTATAAGCAGTGGCAGAACTAGAGCTTTAAACATGGGGTGGCCGAGTCTTAAGGTGGTCCATAGACCATGAAAGAAAATTAGCGTGTTAACCTAACCTAGCATCAAAAATAGCATGAATGAATCCTACGATGGCTGATTAGAGGTAGAAGTGATAACCATGAGTTTTCTCTTAATATTCACAATTAATATACATTGACAATGTGTCATGCCGTCGCATGTCAAAATAAATGCCTCGTTCAACAAAAGGTGAAATCAAATTTCAATCAGCATCAAACTGCCAGTATAGCGAATGAAATTCAAAGATGTCCAGTCATATGGAGACCCCTATGGCTCCTCTACTGAGCCTTCTTTCCAAAACATCAAAAATCTTACCTACCCAAACTTTTTAATGGTTGTGTTTATTCTCTGACAATAATATATGCTACACAAATGTGTTTATCAAGTAAATGTATATTTGTTTAAAGATGTTTGGCAGTTTTGACTGAAAAACAAGACAAAAATACCAATTAAGAGAGTGATTTTTCGCAGCACAGAGGAGAATTGATCTGATGTATGGTGATGTTGCTCTGTGGATGTGTCCTGCTCTGCAAACCAGCTTGCCAGTCTTTCTCCTGTGCACCCTGGGAGCTCATTACAGGTGTCTCTGAGCTTATGAAACACACCACGATGCGGTTGTGTGAACCCTCTTCATTAAATACTACAAAACAAGCAATACTGAAACATTTGACAAGAAGTCCACAGGTGTGCGATTTACAGTTACTGTATATGCTAAAGTGAGGCAGACTTGTTTTGTTCTGTGTAATCGTTAGCGTCTCAGTCTGTTTGTTGAGATATATCCACAGAGACTTGTTTGTCCTGTGTGATTTTTCCTATCAATGCATTTCTGTTTTCCCCATCATTACACACACAGAATCAGGTACACATTATCTGCTTTGCTTCTCACATTGGAGCAGTGATGTTATGTTCTGTGAGACTTGATTTGTAGAAACTTGACACGTTTAGGTGCAATTTACTCTGGTTGGAGGAATTTGCTCTTGGTTTCTCCTTGTGAGTAGGGCCTAATGTTTGTCTTTTACATCATGCCTTTTAAAATGCTGAAAATCTCTCTCTCTCTCTCTGTCATTTAGAGTCGTAGTCCACGTCACTCCCAGTCCACTCAGTCAGGTTTGGCAGACCAGGCGTCTAAACTTTCCTTCGCATCTGCTGAGTCTCTGGAGACCATGTCAGAGGCCGACATGCCGCTGGGCTTCAATCGCATGAACCGCTTCCGTCAGAGCCTCCCCCTTTCCCGCTCTGCAAGCCAGAATAAACTACGTTCTCCAGGTAACATACACACACACTTTATCTGAGTATCAATCGACCGTTTACAGTAAATGACCCCTTTTACCTGACACTCAAAAGACTGATTTGCTTATTCCCACATTCACACAAGAATAAGTAGCAACTTTACTAGTGACAGTGCTGTGGTGCTGTCACGGCTAACATGTTCTCCAATGGTTATGCAGATTTGAGTCCGACCTACACCATCGTTCAAAAGTACGATTTTTTTCGTTTGAAAGAAATGAATACTATTATTAAGCAAACCCTGTTGAAAAATTACCCCCCCATAGACAGTAATTTAATTACAATTATAATTATATATTACAATAAATCATATGTTCTAATATTATATTATTATTCATTTACATCATTAATATGTTACATATAGAAATATGCAAGCAAAAACAATGCTTGTCCCCAAAACACTGCTTGTATTGAGACAGCTGGCCGGCTCACACTCAACCCTGCAAGACCAGCTTCACCAGCTCAGTTTTGCTTGAGAACAGCATGACTATGTTGGTCAGCCAGCTAAACCAGCATAAACCAGCCTGGTACAGCACGGAATTCATGCTGGTTAATGCTGGATTTTTCAGCAGGGAAGTTGCATTAAACTGATCAAAAGGGACAGTAAAGATTGTATAATGTTACAAAATATTTCTATTTGAAATAAATGCTGTTCTTTTGAATTTTCTATTTATCAAAGAATTCTGAAGAAATGCATCCTGGTTTCAGTTCAGCAAGCTTTTTCTTTTTCTTTAAGAAATTCCTACTTTTATTTGGCAAGGATGCTAAATTGATCAAAAGTGACTTTAAAGATGTGTATATAATGTAAAAAAAATCGATCACAGAATCTACAAAACTATTAATCAGCACAACTGTTTTCAACATTGATAATAATAAGAAATGTTTCTTGAGCACCAGATCATCATATTAGAATATTCAGAATTAGAATATCTGAAGGATCATATTACACTGAAGATTGGATTAATGATGCTGAAAATTTAGCTTTGCATCACAGAAATAAATTACATTTTAAATATATATTCAAATAGAAAGCAGTTCTTTTAAATTGTATTAATATTTCACAATATGACTGTTTTACTGTATTTTGATCAAATCCTTGGCGAGCATAAGCAGTGGCTGAACTAGAGTTTTAAGCATGGTTTTTATACTTGGCTACATCATTTCCTTTCCCCCCCCTCTGTCTTTTCATGTAATGACACACAAAGCCCATAAATAATAAACGTCTTCACTCCACTGTACAACTTGCTGCAACTAAATGAGTGTTTATCAGACTTTTCTAAACTGTTACTGTATAACAAATATAATTCACAGAAAACGATTTTAGCCTTTCGAGAAACTATTTCAGGGTGCAACTGAGAAGCAAGAAGCTTTGTTAAAATGCGCACATTAACCCAAAGGATATGCAGAAATTTACTTGGAAGTTTAAGACAATTATGTATTCATTGTGATAACAATTTCCTTGTGAATAACTCAAAGTCACAGAACATTTTTTTTCATGTTGCAATGAATCATGAATCAAACATCAGCACATTAACCTCAGGAAATATGTGTAGGATAAATGAAAGTTTGTAGACCATTGCTTATATCTCACTCATTATGCCTGTTGGGGAGTAACTAGCTAAAAGTAATGATTTTTTTTCAGAAGTGTTCAGCTATAAATACTGTAGCTTTTTAAATGACAAGGTTTTTTTTTTTTTTTTTTTTTTTTTTATGAGACCAAGTGCTACATCACTGTTTTAATTCACATTGTATTGTGTATGCAGCTTTACAGTCAAGTGAGATGACACGATATTTAAACACATTCTCGTGCTTTACATTAACTGCGATGGAAAGTCTGATTCATTCTATTGAATCACCTTTGTTTGGATGATTCATGTAAACCAGCCCCACAGTACTGATTTGCTTTCGGCTGAAGATGACGTTTCGCTGTTCTGCAATTAGATAGTGTGAAACGTTTTCCACTTTTTGATAGTTAATAGCAGTGTGTTAATTACAGCAGTACAATGCATTCACATGAACTGACCTTCAACCGTTTGTTTTTTAGCTTTGGTTTCCATGGTGTGAAATATCTCTTAGTCTTGAACTTTCACTCTGTGTGTGTGTTAGCAGCAAGCGCACAATATTTGCTGAAAGTGATTCGGTTTGAACAGTTCCCCAAAGAGAGATTATTGTCCCATCAGCAGGAAGTTTAGAATCGCCTGCTGCCCCGTTAGGTTGAAGTGTGCCGAGATAAACTGACAGAAACTGATGACAAAATGTCTGCAGGAGAAGTTCAGCAGCTGTAAACATGAGACTCTGTCACTCTCTCTCACAGTGGTTTAGAGCGCACTCAAAACATATTTAAGTGTACATTTAAAACGTACGTTTTAACAGAGTTTTAACATAAGCTAATAAACTTAATGTGATGATGCTTGTCACACTTGATATATGTCAGTCACACAACTCCACTGAAAAAGATCATGGCATAGTTTATTATTAACTATTTGCTTCGGTTTGAAATGATCAAAATGCATTCTTTCAAATTGCTTAGAATCAGCATAACAATTACATTTATTCAGTTTGAACATGGTTGAAATATGGTTAGTTGTGCAACAAGCCATATTCAAATACGTATGAGATTGACAAATTAGACAAAATTTATTAGTACTCTTCAAGAAATCTTACCTATTTCTTACCCTTTTCATTTATGTATGACTTACAAATATCCATCACATCCAGTTTATTAGTTTATGTTAAAACTGTGTATTCCAAATGGATGGAGATTTTATATGCAATTCAAATGCATAATCTTAATCACGGTGTTCTTTCCTGACTTTCTTCTTACCGCTCTCCTTCTCTCTCCTAAGGTGTCCTCTTCCTGCAGTTCGGAGATGAGACCAGGCGTGTTCATATCACTCATGAGCTCAACAGTTTAGAGACATTGCACGCGCTCATCGTGCACATGTTCCCTCAGAAGCTGACAGCAGGAATGCTGAAGTCCCCGAACACGGCCATCTTGATCAAAGATGAAGCCAGGAACGTCTTCTACGAGCTGGAGGACGTGAGAGACATACAGGACCGCAGCATCATTAAAATCTATCGCAAAGAGCCCATCTATGCCTCCTATCCTGCGGCACATCTGGCCAACGGAGACCTCAGGGTGAGATATTTCTACCGTATTCAATGATTCAGTTTGTTTAACATCTTCATTGTCCCAGCATGGGCTTATGGGTAAAATAAGGCACAGAGCATGATCCATATTTAAAGAATGTTTTCTTTTCCAAGTCAAAATCAGAAATTACAAGGTTATGGATGTAGATCCCAGTATGTAGATCCTTGACCTTCAAATCGACGTCACGGTCCTCTTTGCGTGTTAAATATTTTAAAGGGAAGTACCCGGTGTTTGATCCATTGAGCAACGTCTTTCAGATTTGGATGTTCTTGAACTCAGAGGATTTTGAATTATGCACAGTTTTTGGCATATCACTTGGGAGTTGGTTTCACTTTGTGAGCTCGCTGTGCTACCACAGGAGTTTGATGTGGGTTGACTTTGAAATGCAATCATGTTGCGTCACTCTGTTGATCAAATGTTCATTTTTTCTTCTCTGGTGCGAGTCGTCTTTACCATTTCATACTCTCTGAGAGTGTCAAGCTCACTCTCAGCTAACTTTAGACATGAGTCTGTTAATGTATCCAAATATTTCTGCTTATTGTCTGTTTGTGGGTGTGTATGAGTCTGAGTGTTTGTTTATTCTGTTCTTTGTTTTTATGCTTCAATAAGTTTGATTACTCTCAGAGTAGGAGAAGAAAAGGGAACAGAAGCAAAGTATATAAAGAAAAGATGGATGAGTGCCTTAAGATAAAGCAAAACAAGCTGCGGCGTAAATGCAAGTAAAGTAACAAGCAGATATAGAAGTTATGAAATGAGAGGTGAAAAGAAAAAGTACTGAGATGCAGCCAGGCAGAAAAGGGGATCTAATAGATGAGTGTGGGTTTCCTGGTGTTTGTGAATGGAGAGTTTCAAAGCTCATTGTAGCTTAGTAAAATATATGTGCTCACTCAGAAGTGGTGGTGAAATCTGAATACAGTGCCATGTAATCCAATGTCATGCCAGTAGCTTTTGCTTGGCTGGGTGAAAGGAGTGAATAGGGTGAATAGAGCTCCCCGGAGTTGAATTACAGACCGATGAAAAGAAAGAGTGAGAGAGAACTAGAGAATGGGGCAATGAGTCTAGAGCTCCGCTCTTGGTTTCGTGCTAAACCTCAGAGCATTGCTTTTGCTTTGAGACGTTTCATTTGTCAGCACCACATTTTTACGTTTAAATGATTTTTGGCAAATATCCACTTCTCTTTAACACTTCTAACTATGAGTGTAACAGAGTAAATCTATAAAACTGATGCCTTTTCAATTTTTGAAAGGTGGCTTTTACAGTAAATGTCTGTAGGAATGTACCATTCTATCAGACAAATAATATCTATAAGTGCCAATTGATTTTATTCTGCAATCTGAATGTAAATGAATATGTTTAATCATTCTGCTCTTATAAATAGTAGAAAACAAACACTTTTAGAAAAAGTTAAATAAACATGTTATGCTTGACAGATCTTGTCAAGTATGACAAACAAATTCTAAATGTTAAATCAGAGTAGAACTGGACAATTTATGAACTTGGCTGCCCTGAAAACACAAGTGATGTCACTTCCTCGTCATAATGTCATTTAAAATGTTATGAACACAAATGGAATGACTTCCCTACGTCATTTCTATGTTCGTGTATTCAGTCTTTTACCTCTCCTAGGACTTGGATTCATTAAGTTACTCAGAGTGATGTATTCATAAAATGCTATTATTGTTTTTCTCTGTCTTGTTTTAGAGAGAGATGGTTTACACATCCAGGGACTCGTCACCTACCCGCCGCCTCAACACTCTTCCTTCCTCCACTGCCTCACCCTCCTCCGGCTCCCCTTCCCGATCCCGTCTCTCCTACAGCGGAGGTCGTCCCCCGTCTTTCGCTGGCCCGGGTCACCCTCACCCCCAGGGCTCCCAGCATCCGTCCCACTCCCACCACCCTTCTCCCTCTCACGGACAGGCTCAAGGCCTAACCGCCTCCTCCTCGGCCATCCTGGAGCGCCGTGATGTCAAACCTGACGAGGAGATGTCTGGCAAAAACATGGTCCTCCTGAAGAATGAAGGTCTTTATGCTGATCCCTACAGCTTGATGCACGAGGGTCGACTTAGTATCGCTTCTACTCAGTCCCTGGCCACCATCGCTGACCCCTTCGGCTTCCCTGTGTCTGGAGGGCTGTACCGCAGAGGTTCAGTTCGGTCTCTCAGTACGTACTCAGCCGCAGCGCTGCAAAGCGACCTAGAGGACAGCCTGTATAAACCTGGAGGTTCTCTATACTCTGATACATATGGCAGCTCTACGCTCGGCATGGGCTTTCGTTTGCCACCCTCCTCCCCGCAGAAGATTCCCGATGTGCAGCTGCGTGACAGGGATTCGTTCACCGGATCTCCAAGCCGAGGGTCACCTGTGAGAACGACCTTCCGCAAGGACTCCGCTTCCTCTTCTGTGTTTGTAGAGAGTCCGAAGTCCAGACCCAGCTCCAGTTCTGAACCCCTAGGAGATGGGAGTAAGGGACCTGGATTTGGGTCGCAATTGTCTGGGGGCGAGACGGACGCACGGTAAGCATTGGAAATGTATGTATATGCATGTATGTGGTAGCTGTGAGTTTGTGGATGTGAGGGCATTTATGCACTTTTTCTTTGACAAATGCACATTTTCATTGACAAGAAATGTACATCAGTCTAAAGACTCTAAACAAACAAATTAATAAGCAGAATGTATCACTGCAAATGCCAGATAGAAAGATCCTTGAGCACACGACTGTTCAAAAGTTTGGTGTATGTACAAAAAAAATTAAATAGCTTTGAAAGATTTTTCATATAAAATAAGAATTTTGTTATATAAATACCTTGTTCTTCCCTCATATTCAAAATATTTTCCTCATATTTTGATGGTTTAATCAGAATTGTAGGGCCATTAAAACAAATATCCCCTCCAACATCACTTTTGGCCACTAATGGGTATATAAAATATTTTTTTAAAGTTTAAAAATGTAATTTATTCTTGTGATGGCAAAGCTAAATTTTCGCCATCATTATTCCAGTCTTCAGTGTCACATGATCCTTCAGAAATCATTCTAATATGATGATAAAAATCTTTTGCAGCATTATAAATGCCTTTACTGTTACTGTTAATCAGTTGAATGCATCCTTTATTAATCAAAATATTAATTTTTTTTTTTTTTACGGACACCAAACTTTTGAACTGGGGTGTAGTATTGCATAAACATTTACAACTTTTTCGTTTTTTACAAAACCACTTTACTGCCTATTAATATTTGGGGGAAAAAATGTTTTTCAAAAAGTTGGTGCAAGCAAAAAACAGGAAATGATATCATAGAGGGGACCCTCATGACTGTGTCAAAGCCAGGAAGTCTCTTAAATTATAAGATAATTCAGTCTTTTTATTAAAAGGTTAGTTTAGGTTTATAGGATTTATTAGGTTATAAAATGTCACATGCCACGACTCTTTGAACTGTAAATCTTGAAAATATACAGTATTTTGAAAAACATTTAGAAAAAACTATAGCTGTTTACTTGATGGTTACACCACATTACTTTTTTAGAGTCTTTAATTTGCAACTTTTTTCACAATTATTATGAAACCAACATGAATACACAGAGTACATTTCAAACAAGTTTTTTTTTATTTTTTTTTATTTTTTTTATGTTTACTGTGGACCTTCTTAACCCATATGCATTATTTGTGGTGTTTTCTTTTATTGGGAAGTCTTGGGATTGTGTGGCACATTTTAAAATGAGACTGGGTTATATTGTTACTTAGTTTCCTTCCAAGCAGATTGATCCAACAGCTAAAGCGTTTTTATTTTAAAGGGGAGCTACCGCTCCTTAAAAAACAAAACATGCACTTGGGCGATGGCACTTGTGTATTGAGATATATTGAGTGATGCCCCTAGACAATCCACGGTTAGGAGAAATGTTGCTGTCTCTGAATCGATAGGTAATGGATCATCTACTAACCCGCGCCTACAGGACATAATATTTAGGAGAACATTTAAATGAAATCCCCTAGAAAATGTATAATTAAAACGTGTACACTTATCAATTTTTTGTCTGTCTTGTTAGCAGGGATCGTATGGAGGCAATGGAGAAGCAGATAGCCAGTCTGACTGGACTGGTTCAGAGCGTCCTAACCCGAGCACCAGACAGCGACAGCACGTAAGACCTACACCCATAGAGCCACCTATGATTCATTTACATGAAACCAGAGCCAATCAGATGCTCATTTACATTGACAAAACCAACCTATACAAGCCATCTCACTCATACAGACCATCAGCCATGACAGGCTCCTGATGTGCCAATCTCATGAAACATTTGACACATAAAGGCCATTGAACATGGTACGCAGTAACTGCGATTTCCCAGGTCAACTTATTTTATGGGGATTAATGGCACTAATAAATGGCATTTAAGTAATTTTTTGTCATGCAACATGAAAAACAGTATTTACAGTAAATAAATCAGAGATGCAGCATGTTTTGCTCTGAGCTAAAGCAGTAGTGAGTACTGTTATACTAACACGTTCCATACTACCTCTCATGTGTACCTGCGTACCTTGTGAAATGCACAGTTTGCATGATGTATTAAACCATTTCACACATACTCAGTGTTAGCATGGAACCATTTTGCTTTCATGCAGTAATATCCTAAGCTCTCATGTTTGCTATGTAGCCATTGGCTTTTCTTATGTTTCAAAAGCTTGTAAATATGTCTTCACTTGCTGGATGTTAAGTGCTTGTATTGAAATTGTGTGTGCTGGTGGTATTTTCTTTTTTGTCCTGCGGTCGCCATGAGTCTCTTTGTACTGGTGCTTTGATGTTGCTGGACATGTATTGTCATTCATATTCGATGTGACAAGTCATTCACGCCAACTATGGAATATTTTACAGTATGTAAGGAAATTATTATTATTTAGATAATTACCTCCAAAAGAGAGTGTTGAGGTCAAAGTGTCGAGTAGAGATTTAGAAACAAATGCATTGTATGAAGAGAAAATTCAGTAAATAGGGTTGTTAATTAATATTAGGTAGAGTTAGGATAGAAGCTGTTGGCACTACGCCTGATGCAAATACTGTTACTTAGTGAAGCTGTTTGAAGTTTGAAGTTGTATTTTTTTTAAATAGAAATAAATCAGACAATCACAGTGCAAACCTGTTCACTTGTTGTTTAGAAGGATTTTGTTTCAAATCTTTGTTTCAATTTTGTGCTCATAATTGAGACTTGGTGTGAACACAGTAGGTCTTAAAGATAGTGTGAGTCAGTAGGTCTTAAAGAATCCCTGAGAGTCCATTGCTTATTCTGTTACATCATCAAAGTCAGTTGTGGTGGAGCATAGCATTTGAAGTGTTTTCGATTATAAAGGTTGCTAGTTCAATATGAATCTCAGTAGTTTATTGGGTTGAATACCTCAGTTCTAATGCACTACCATCCAAAAGTTTGGGATCTGTTTAATCTGTTAGAAATAAGTCTCTTATGCTCATCAAAAATGTAATGTATTCCTGTCTTAGCAAAGCTGAATTATCTGCATCATTACTCCGTCTTCAGTGTCACATGATCCTTCAGAAATCCTTCTAATATGATGATTTGCTGCTAAAGAAACATTTCTTATTATTATTTTGAAAACAGTTGTGCTGCTTTTTCAAGATTCTTTAATTAATAGAAACTTCATTATAATTAATTTGAAATTGAATGTTCTTTTGTAACATTCTAAATGTCTTTACTGACTCTCTTGATCAATTTAATGAATCATTGCTGGATAAAATTCTGAATTTTACCACAAACTTTGGAATGGTAGTGAACGTGTTTGAACAGTTTTATAGGTTGAATTGAGATGTGTTGCTCAGAGGAATTGTAAAGTGTGCCACAGTAGCAGTGCTTTGGTAGAGTAAAACAAGATATAGTATAGCGTAACCCATTATTAGGCTCGGAGGAGGCTAGTGTAGTATAGCTGTAGAACAGTGCATGCTAGAGCAGTGTAGTGTCAGTGTAGTGTTAGGTGCTGTAGTACAGTGGTAGTATCATGGCTGTATGATCCTCAGATGCGGCCTGCTGCGTCTCTGCATGATGGCGGGCTGCCCTCCGGACCAGGGGGCGGACTTTTCACGGCCCTTCCCTTTCTCTTCCAGCGAGAAGACCGAATCCACCAGCGACGGCTCCGCCACCGGAAGTGAGTCCAGCTACTTCTCTATGGTTGTCCAGAGCAGTCGTGAGGCAAAACTAATGTCTGCTATCTTTAATACTGTGTTTTTAGTAGATCAGGCTGGCCCAAGTTTGAAACACTGATGATCTCAAACAGGCCTTTGGCTTGGATGTATTAAAACAACCAGACATGACATTCTTTATCAGAGTTCACTTGAACGAAGGACCCTACTTTGTGTTCACTCCTTTGTTCTTTGTCCAAATAACCTTCATGTTTTCACAGATAGAGTAGACTTCAGTACTTTTTTTTCTTCGTTTTCTATTTTTTTTTCCTCGTTCTCCTTCTCAAATCTGTAACGGGTGTCCTCAGAGAACGCCTTCTGAGTGGTCAGCCCTTCAAAGGCTACTGCTAGATCTTTGATTTGCTAGATTTGTCTTTGAAGATTGTCCACGGTTTGAGAGGTGAGTCTAAATCGACTCGCGCCTCAGTAAAGGGCCATCGAAAGGGTATCCCATGAGGATTTCCCATGAGTCTCCCCCTTTGAATCTGATCTACAACAGGTCCCATTCAGCACTCTGTTTCTTTACTTCATTATGCCTATTTAGTTAACTGGAACAAGCTGACAGCTTCTACTGTATGTTACAGCTGGCCGGCTGAAGAAGAAAGGTAGCCTTGTCTCTGCTCTCTCATGTTTAATGTGCATTGGCGTGTCTTTCCCGGTGTATGTAGTGTGCGTGTATCTGTTTTTACGAAAATGTGATTCTTCTGCTTATTTAATGCCTGTTCCCACTGTAGCTTTTTTACGGTATCTATCCTCTATGGCCTGCCTGCACTAGATATTTCTCTCCCTCAGTCTGTTTTCACTCCTAAACTTGACACATTCACACAATGAAAGATTTCCCTAATCTTAGGGAATCAGTACATGTACCCTAATGTTAAAAACGACTGACTGGAGAGTGCTGGCTGGTATTCCTCACTAACAGCATGTTCCTCAGTGGACCCTGGAGGTGACGACATGCTTTGTGTGTGTGCGGGTTAGTGTATCTCTGTCTGAAAACACAAGGAAGGATGGGTGTAGAGCAAAAGCGCTAAATCCGGTTTCTGGAGATCTTCCGTCCCGCAGAGTTTAGCTTCAATCCTAATCAAACGCACACAATCCAGCTAGTCAAGGTCATGGGGTTCACTTGATTGAAATTACAGCCAGCTGTGTTAGAACAGGGCTGGAAATAATGATGTGTTCATTTCTCCTGGGAAGTTCCTCCTTACAAGTTCGGAAATCGTAATTATGACATGAAGTGATTTTGGTCGAATAAACTCGCTGGGCAAATTTCATATTTCTTTCTCTGTATTTTCACTTACCAACTTAGACAGAAAGCTTTTTTGGAGATAATGAAACAAAATAAAGAGCAAAGGATGCAAATTAGGTGTGTAATTGTGTATTTATCCGTGTATTTTATCATTCCGTGCTTTCATGGAGAATGATGGGAAATGTGAATTGGTCTCCTTGTAAACCAGCTAAATGTTTTTCTGGCAAGCTTTATAATTATTCAAATTTAGTATGCAGAATGTGTAGAAACTATATTGCACCATCAACATTCAAAGCTTATTATGAATAATAAATATCTGCTGTAATTATTTAATCGACCTGCCCTCAACTTGAAATGTCTGGGCTCATGTGACCTTCAAGTGGGAAATATCACAGTTTCCACAAAAATATTAATCAGCACATTACTGTTTTCACCAGTGATAATAATAAGACATTTTTCTTGAGCAGCAAATCATCATATTAGAATGATTTTTGAAGGATCATGTGATCAAATAAATAGAAAACAATTTTTTAACTGTATTTTGATCAAATAAATATAGTTCTTTCAAAAACTAAAATCCTATCACTTTTAACTGTTTGCTTTTTGCATATTAATTATTTGTTTGTTAGTTGTGTAAAAGTAAATCTTACATATGATTATCCACTGATTCAACAGAAAAAAATAGCTTTTTGCAGTTGTTCCATCTTCCATATTGTGTTTTTACCTTATATGTGTGAGATCGCAATAGCAATTGTCGAACTTGGCTGTAGGAGCTTCCCAGGTGCACTTGAAGGCATTATTTACTAAAATCTATTAAATATGACTTTATGGTTGCATTCATCTACGCTCAACTTTTAAGCACATTCATGCTACATGAACGCAGCAGAAACTCTGTTGGAAGGTCGAACTCCAGAAGCAGGACTAAACAATGCTGGTTTAGAAGGTGTAGATGGGTAAGTGCGAACTAATTCATATTTAATTGAGTGTCTTTCGAGCTCACAGTGTTGATTTTCTTTTTTTTCTTTTTGTCCTGTGTTGTGCTTATTAGCACTGACTCCATCTGCCCCGCTGGCACTGATGCCTCCGCCTTCATCTGGGGGCTCTCAGGCCTCCACCGTCTCCAGGCTACAGATGCAGCTTCACCTGCACGACTTACAACAGAACGCCACCGATCTGCGCAAACAGCTTTCACAGCTCCGTAAAATGCAGGTAACACTTCACACACGCAAACATACAATCTCATGCATCTCTACACGCAGCAGCCAATGTCGTGCACTAAACAGGCATGACCAGATAAAGCGGCATGCGATAAATTACATCTCTTTCATGTTAATCTGAGTTTTTGTCTTCACTGCGGGTGACCGTCCGAATCCTGCTCCGCATAGCTGGATATTAAAACATTTCATCAAACCTCAAAGGGTTTCTGATTGGCTGTCGTTTTATGGCTTATTGTGGCATTTAGCTTTCAGGGAGTCAAAACAAGTCAAGTCACATTTATTTATATCACAGTAATAAACAAGAAAATAACAGTGTTAATGTTGCATAATTCATCAATTATGAAACCAATTCAATTCAGCTTTAAGCAGCTCTACAGAAGACAATAGTGTCATTATTCAGCTCAGTGTTGTTGAGGACACAAGCATTTCCTGATGCTCAAAACTTTGTCATTTCACTCCTGTCTATTGACCACACAACGCTCACAGAATCAATGCAAATGGTCACACATTGCACAAAATCCTGCCCCAAATCACTTTATTTTGATAGCTATTATAAATTATGATAGTTGCATTTTTGAACTGCTCAATCGTAGAAACACACTGTGGCACAGTTGGAAGGTCAGGCATTGTCATTATCACAAGACCTCTCAAAATTGGAGTCATTGATGATGTACCGCTGTAATATTGAAAACTTAATGCATACCCGAGGTCGTAATGTGGCATGATGCAAATCCAATTGCCTGTTACACCTCAGGTGTGGATTAAAATTTCAACACTCAAGCAGTTCAGAGTCAATTATTCCACGGAAAACACTTGTACATGTGCTTATCTCTAGACATTGGTTATCTCTGAACAAACGTTCTTCGAAGTTAACTGTAATGTGGTCAGCAAACCTGGAAATACTTGGTAGCCATATTAATCAGCACCTTGAAATGTGTGGTAATCAATCAGAATCAAGAACTGAGCAATGCTGAGGTATGAAGGATTGTACTAACCTGCACGTCACACTGCAAACCATCTCGATGTGTGCCTGCTGACACGGAGGACGATTTAAGGAGGTGATACAGAAGGTGGTACAGAAGCTACAGACGGCAGGAACAGCAGCACTGATTTGTAGTCTTCACGATATCTCACAGTGTGATTTATTTACACACAGCAGGTTTTTACGGCAGATTTGTTGCTTTATGTCCTGTTGGAGCTCAGTGTGTGTGTGGTGTGGAGGAAGAAATTCATTATGGAAAGTTAGTGTGCATTGCGGACTTTTACATTCAAAACCAAAGGACTGGATGATAAAATCAAACCTGTTCAAATGTTTTTGAGCATTTTTAATTGCGTTTCTGATGTTATTAATACAAATTTGCAAAAGATGCAGTAGGGCCGTGGTCTCAAACTCGCGGCCCTTAAAGTTTAATGTCAGTGCGGCCCGTCGTTGCGTGTGCCGCGTTTTAAAAAGAATATTATTTTTTTATCCCTTACGGGCTACCATAGATAGTCTCGTGACAGCTTACAGACAACCGCGAAGTACAAACATACTGCGCCTGGAAAAAATGAGCGCGTCGCTTCAATTATGAGCGCGCTTGCCGCGCGCCTACATTTGAAATAACGAACTTAAGCGCGCAATATATGTGAGCGCGATATGTGAACGGTCCCTTGTCGAGCTACCACCAATCAGGCCTCGAGCTACTGGTAGCTCGCGAGCGACGTGTTGGAAAATAGAGACCCTGCTCTAAAACAATGTGAGAATAATCATTTTGAGCTTGTAATATGTGTCCAACAGGTTGATAAGAATGTTTGCTTCGATTTGTGCAGTCAGTAATTTGAGACACTATACATGTGTAAAAAGAATTCAATAAGACGGACAGACATGACTGCAAATATTTGTATTTCAGAAGCAATAATTGTTTTTCTAAGTATAATAAAAGGAAATGTGCCTTCCAAAAAAAACATTCAATATCATTAATGTGTTGTATAAAGAAAATAAAAAGGACATAAGCAAATATAAATATCACAAATATGTGTTATAGACAAAGAAAGTTTGTAAAATGAACTTCAACTGTCAGAAGGACAGCTCATTAAGAACCAATCATGTAAAGTAAGGAATGTTCAAATTCAGAGGAACAGTTCAGAAGAAACGTTAATAATAAATATTGAGAAGATTGGATCAGTTGTGCTCCTTTTTTGGAATACTTGAATACTATTTTTTGTGGAATACTTGATGCGGCCCAGCCTGACCCCGACTCTACCTCCAGCGGCCCCCAGTTAAGTTGAGTTTGAGACCCCTGCAGTATGTGTGTTACCTTCACTATGATTATTTGTGAACAAAAAATAATAATAATAAAAAAAGCCAGTCATTTTGCATCATCCAGTGGACTTTTGACAGCTATGGCTTTTGTTAAATCTACAGATCAGACTTCTGAATTTGTGTATTCCTGCCCATGGACAATCAGATCAACAGATGGTTTTATGGCAAATGTTTTCTAGTCATATAGCTCATATAGCTCTGCTTTAACTTTTTTTTCAGCATTTCTACCGCATAGACAGACAGATTTGATTAAAACCCCATTTACCATCTGTAAATTACCACTTTTAATTACTTTCTTTGTATTATATGCTAGTGTTTTATACCACTGTGTGGGTTCCAGGTAAAGGCCAGGAATTGAGAGAAGCAGAAGGATCTTAAGTTACTTGCATGGGGAACAGGGAAGGCCTTTGCAAACATAAGAACATTCATATATCAGTTAGAAATATATCTGTCAAAATATCAGACTTTTCAGACCAACTAGCCTAAGACAGCAGTCGTCTCAGACGAGCAGGATGGATATAGAATCTGATGTCCGACTGGGACGAAATATGTTAAATAAAATAATATATGTATACTGTTGTAAACTGTTGAAATTCCTTGTACGGACAGCTGTCAGATTACCATGGTGACATGTTGAACAGGAGTATGATAAAGGGAAATGTTTGTATTAGTAAATGTGTAAAGGAGAGAAAGGGAGGATGCGCTGGAAGCTTTAGGGAGGACTGAAAGCGACGGCACACTAACAGTCTGACAGATCCTATTGGATTGTGTGCCTGTCATATTCTTTCCTTTCTGTATTTACGAGTTCTCACATGTTGTCATGCAACACCTGAAATTGTGAAGGAATTTTTAAGTATTTCAAGGCCTCATAAAATCATGGAAAATTTTTCCATGTCAAGCATAAATGAATAAAAAAAGAAAAAATATAAGAATATATAATTTAAACTGACTTTTCTAGTCGCCCATGATTTAATTTATATGCATGTCTCTCTCTCTCTCTCTCTCTCTCTCTCTCTCTCTCTCTCTCTCTCTCTCTCTCTCTCTCTCTCTCTCTCTCTCTCTCTCTCTCTCTCTCTCTCTCTCTCTCTCTCTCTCTCTCTCTCTCTCTCTCTCTCTCTCTCTCTCTCTCTCCCTCTCCTAAAATATATATTTATATCATATATATATATGTACACAGAATATATTTGAATTCAGAAAGGATACGTTAAATTGATCAAAAATGATAGTGAAGTCCTTTAATTAATAAAATAAATAAACTGTTTTCGCCATTAATAATAAATGTTGAGTAATAAATCAGAACGTCTGAAGGATCGTGTCAAAATATCAAAATATTACAGTTTTTACTATATTTTTGATCAAATAAATGCAGCCTTGGTGAGCAAAAGAGGCTTTCAAAAACATAAATAAATCTTACTGACCACAAACATTTGAACAGTAGGGTATACACACACGCATATTTTAGAACCATGACTGTAAAAATCTTGAAGTCATAGAAGTTCATTGATCAAAAACGTGTGGAAACGCTGTATTTATTACACTACTGTGTATAAGTAAGTGTGAGTGTGTGTGTTTATGTGTAAGCGAGCATGTTCAACTAGTCATTAATTTCCCGGCTGCTGCTGTGTGTGATTCACTCCTATAGCGGGGAAGGTAATAACTCTTAATATCATACTCAATGATGAGATGGTATGGGCCAGCAGGGATGCAAAGATGAAGAGAGAGAGAGAGAGAGAGAGGGAGCTGGCCTCAAATCAAGTCAGCTTTTCAGTCAGCAGTGCTTTAATGAAAACTGACTGTGGAATGATAGCAACCGGTGTGATTCATGAGTGAACACCTGCATCTCACCCGTGAACTCTCTAAATAAACAGAGTAGAAAAACTGGAAATGAAGGCTCTACAGAGACTGTCTGGAGCAAGGAAATTTGATATTTTGTACAACAGTTCACGTGATTAATGCGACTATTTTGCTTATTCGATTAGTGACAGAAAGAGTGCAGAATCTTAAATATTCCTTATTGTTTCTTACATGTTTCTTTTTCAAAAGCCTAAAATCATTTATTTTTAGGTTTATATGGAATTTTCAACCCTGAGATTTTTAATGTGGTGTTAGACTTTTGGACCATACTGTATTTCTAAAGGTTTTTGATTGCATGATTTCATTTCATGGCATGCAGAAGATGAAAAAAAATAGGTCTTAGTAATTTCAAATCCGTCAGGCCATGTAGCCATTCAGAATCTGCATTTGCAAAAGAAACACAATCCCATGCAAAAACTGCACTCTATTTTTTTCATTCATTTTTTTCAGTTAAAATAAAATTTTAAAACAAGATACATTTACTGGAGAAGCAACTCTAGGTGAGACATTAAGACTTATTTTCATAAATTGTGTCTTTAATGTACACTGTAAAAAAATCATATGATCAATAAGTTATAACAACATGTTTTTACATTGCTTTAACTCACCAAAATAAGTTAAGCAATTTTCAACTTTTTGTTATGTTATACAGGATTCAACTCGTTTTAATGCAATTTAACTTGAACTGACTTAAACATCCAAGTTGATTGTTCTTAAAAAATTAATGGCAGCAACTTTTTTTACAGTGTATTTTGTCTTACTGCACTGGCAGATTTTTCACTTGTTTTAAGTATAAAGAAGTTTATAGTGTAAAGTGTATTAAAGATACAATCCATGAAAATCCTTAATATCTTATGCAATGCTACTTCTCTTGGTAAACTGGGAAAATAAGTCAAAAAGTCTGATTAAACTCATTAAGATGAATTTTTGCAGTTCAGGAACGTATAATAATCCCCCCCAATTTTAGGGTGGATGTGGGTTGGAAGACAAAGAGGCAAATGGATGGAAGAGTAGAGGAGATGTTGTGACAGTCCGGGAGCACGCCGCGTGGGGGGGGCGAGATTGGTGTCAATTGCTTTGGTGTCGAGAGCCAAGCCACTGGTGTCATGACAACAGCAGATTGCTGAGTTAGACAATTACCTGCCTGAATGCCAGAGCTCGAGACACGGCCCCTGCCCTCATCCCGTTACCTAGGAGACATGGATATGTTGAATAATGCATGAGACTCATAAATAATTCAACTCGAGGAGGAACTACCACCAAACGGCACTAAAATCGGATTGCACACACACACACACACACACACACACACGTACAGTGTACAAAAACACAGTTTCACACACTTTTCTCATTATCGGCACTATAATGCAAGTGACAAAGTCCAGCCGGTTTTCCTCTCAGGGCAAACAAACACTGTGTGCAGAATGCTTACGCATCACAAAATTATGGTGATGTCTGGCATTCCAACTACCACAAGTCCTTCAACATACACTGATGTAAAATACTAGAAAATAAACTCAAGGAAATGGATGCGCATTTACAAAAAGTCATTACGGCATTCAAGAGACCTTAAACGAATAATATCCATCATTAACACTATCAAGGACATGCTGTGCGAACAGACTTATACTGTATATACACACAAACACACGCTCTTGCAAGGTCAATTCTGTGATATCATACCTTCCCATTCAATGTGACAGCTGCATATGGTCAAAGACAGGTCAATGTTACGTATGTGCTCATACACGAGTCATCTGATGGCTGTGTTGTGAAAGATTGTGACAGCTGACCTTCTGTAAAATGCTGAACTCCCAAGCAACAAGAAGTTTCTTCTGTATTTTTAAGAATGTTTCCACTGTTTTTTGTCTGTACAATGAAAGTGGGCTTCAAAGATGTTGTGCCCCTCTTTCACTTTCACTGTATGGACAAAAACTGTGTTTGTTTGCATCTTGTCATTTTTGACAAGACTATCCCTTTAAGCAAATGTAATGATGTTGGAGGTCATTCTTAAAATGTCTGTGTTTGCGTGTAGTTGCAGAACCAGGACTCCATACGCAGTCTGCTGAAGAGGACAGAGACAGAGCTGAGTCTGCGTCTGTCTGATGCGCTGAGGAAACAGGAAGACCCTCTCCAGAGACAGCGCCTTCTAGTGGAAGAGGAGAGACTCAAGTACCTGAACGAGGAAGAACTCATCATACAGCAACTGCAGTGCGTCTCACACACGATATGTGCTCATAATGTGCTGATAATGCCGTTCTGGGGTGCTAGCGTAGTGCCATTGCTGCATAATGGGCAACAAAAAAAAAATCCCAGTTATTTTTATTGCACAGGGTCTAATCAACTCAAACCTGAAAGAGAAAAGATGCATAACAATGAGGTATAAACGGTCTCAGTTAAAGACCTGCAGACCCACAACAACGGACAGCATTGCATTGATTTATTTTGTTCCCATTAAAACCAGCGGGGTGACTAAATCCTCCTCTTCAACTCACTGCCAGATCAGCCGTGTTGCTTTTAATTGATAGTGGTTATTAAGTATAGCTAACTGCCAGTTGATGTGATTCAATTATTAACGTGACGCTGTTTGTATAACAAACCATTTTGTGGGGGGTGGATTTATTTGACGTGGTTAAATTGGATTTTGAGTGTAAACACTCCGACTGTGTCACTGTCGTTTAGTGCTGCTAATACACCCTGCTGCACTGACACTTATTCAAATGCGTGCCGACGCCGTAGCGGGCTTGGGATTTTCACTCATCTCGTTCTACGTCTTTGAACTTTTTAAATGTCATAAACATCAAAAAGTGCGGGATTCCCTTGTGTGTAATAAAACGGAGATCTTTTATAACTTCCAGTAATAAGTCATTAATTTAGTGACATTTAACAAACCATGCGGGTTTATGTTTTTTCTGAAACGATCAATATGTCATAAAACTAATGAGAGGATGTTTGTGTTGACAGTGATCTGGAAAAGTCAGTGGAGGAAATACAAAAGGAGATGTCTGTCAGTCACAGACATGTGACAGTGCAGGAGCTGGAGGAGAAAAGCTCGCTGCTGCGGAAACTGGGAGAGACTCTTACAGAGCTGAAGAGTGAGACTCGTTTCTGTCCTTCACATCCAGACACTTGAACCTCAGCTCTGTTTAGTTACAGAAGAGAGTCAGCGATGCTCGTTCACTGTTTGTTTTTCTCTTTGTCTCTCTCATTCAGATCAGTTCCCAGGGCTCCAGAGTAAAATGCGGGTGGTGTTACGAGTGGAAGTGGAAGCCGTGAAGTTCCTGAAAGAGGAGCCACACAGACTGGACGCCCTACTTAAACGCTGCAAATCTATCACAGAAACTCTCACCACACTGAGGAGGTAGACAAACACTTACTGACTGCAATGATTGAATCATTCCTTGTCTAGCCACATGGTCTGACTCTGTCTCAATTTGCTCTTCATCATTTTGAGTGCTATAATATGGTTTAATCAGGCAGGTGAATGAGGGAGTATGGAAAGCCCAGGATGAGTATTCCAGCCCCTCTCCTAAACTCGGAGGAGGGGACGATTACAGGAAGAACTCAGACTTTGAAATTCCAACCAGCCCACCGCTAAACCTCAATGAGACCAGCCTGGCTAACTGGAGCCCTCACTCGGGTCAATGCCACGCCCACTCTAACCCGTCTCATGCTCACCGGGAGAAAGATTCTCATGGGTTGGTGGGCTCATTGAAGGGACGGGGCCTGGAGGAGCTGGGGGGGCGAGGCGGGTCTGATAAGGCCTCGTCTGTGGAAGTGAGACTGGTGAGGAATTAGATTTAAGATGCGAGTAATTGTTTGTCTGTTGAATAACTGCGTTTTAAATGTATGGAATAGGAATACCTTTTTCTAATTTAGTAATGTTGTTTTAATATGTAAAGTCCGAGTCTGATTTGATTGAAGGTATATTTTTAGCATTTAAGGCATTTATTCCAATGTACAAATTTGATCAGTCTGAGTAAAGTATTCATAAAAGTAAAAATGAACCTTTATGCCACTGAAAAGAATGACAACGATTTAATTTATGATTTAAAATTCTCATTGGGCAAAAGTGACAGAACTTACGTAATGGGGTTCATAGAGATACACTACAATTCAAACGATTTTGAAAGAAATTAATACTTTTATTGAGTAAGAATGCATCAAATTGTTCAAAAGTGTCAAAAGATTTGTTTTAAAAAACTATCTATTGATCAAAGAATCCTGAAAAAATCACTTATCACGGTTCACACAAAAATATTAATCAGCACAACTGTTTTCAACATTGATAATAATAAGAAATGAGCATCAAATCAGTATATTAGATCGATTTCTGAAGGATCAAGGAGTAATGCTGCTGAAAATTCAGCTTTGACATCACAGAACTAAATTACATTTTATAGAATCATAGAATCAGTTATTTTCAATTGTAATAATATTTCACACTTATACTGTTTTTACTGTATTTTTGATTAAATAAATGCAGTCTTGATGTGAATATAAGAGACTCCTTTCAAAAACATTAAAACATCTTACAATCCCCAAACTTTTAAACAGTGCTGTATATAGTTAGCTTTTAAAATCTTTTGAATGTTTTTAGAGCTGAAAATTCGCTCTTGGTGTGAAAAGGCTTTAACAGTGGAACTTAGCTGTTTTAAAACACTAATGATCTTCTAAAATGTCATCTGTGTGTCTCCTCAGGCAGCAGAGCGGGATTGGGAAGAGAAGAGGGCCAGTCTAACACAGTACAGTGCTCAGGACATTAATCGACTATTGGAGGAGACTCAGGCTGAGCTCATGAAGGCCATTCCTGACTTGGACTTTGCCGCCAAGCAGATCAAACCCGCTCAGAACCAGAATCAAAACCAAAATCAAAACCAGAGCCAGAGTCCATCTAGCACCAATGCCACACCTGAACACAGGCCTAATAAACCTCAACATAAACTTTCCAGTAAAGATGGCGGATCCAGAAGAGGCTCGGATGAACTGACAGTGGCAAGGTATCGTACAGAGAAGCCCTCAAAATCCCCCCCTCCTCCACCTCCCCGCCGGAGTTTCCCCTCCTCCCCAGGGCTTACTACACGCAGTGGAGAGATGATCATTCCTGGAAAGATTATGAAGGTGACTGGCAACATACAGAAATACCAACGCATTCTCATCCTTTGGTGTCATATAGGTGACGCCATATGACATTTCGTCGAAATCTTACGCACATGGCATCCTTTAGCGTCAATATATCACGCACTGTTATGGGTAGGTTTAGGTCTGGGGTAGGGTACGGTTATGACGCCTTGGGATCTGCGTCTCATATTCACGCTAAACGATGCCATGTGCGTTGGATTTAGACGAGCGTCACCTGTATGACGCCTTGGGTTCTGCGTCTCATATTGATGCTAAAGGATGCCATGTGCGTAAGATTTCAACGAAATGTCCAAAGCGTCACATGTATGACGCCAAAGGATGAGAACGGGCTGGAAATACATGACACACACTCACAGATTATGTTGCATGTGTGCATTTCTGCATGCAAACTTGCTCAAACATGTATATGTGAGCTGTTCCTGAAAGAGAAACACACAGAGAGGAATTAGGGGAACGCACACGCACTACATCACTTTTATTTGAGTGCAGGGTCTCAAAAATGTCAGGCATCTCATAAAAGCCACCTGTGTTTGCGGGTGTGTTAGTTATGGTTGATATTTTCTTTATCACCCTCGCTGTTCCTATGGTGATAAATCACCCGATGGTAACAGGTGAATTTGAAAGAGATTGAGAAAGATTTAGTTGGTTCTATGTGTTAATTTCCCTTGTGTTTACTATTAATTAAGATTTAATCATTACATTACAATGGGACATATCCTGCACATTTGCAGGCGTTTTGTTATTATTTCATGGAAGTCAATTATAATGTTAGTCAAAACAGCCGTAATTTAGTTTAACAAGATTCATACATGCATTCATTTATACATAAATCCATAAATATGTATATTTCATAATATTGATCAATTCATTTAAAATTAATTGATTAGTTATTTAATTCAATATTTTCTTGTTCGGATGTTTTTTATTGAGACTTACAGTCCATATAAAATAATTTTTGGGGTCATTGTTTATGTATACACAAAGAGTATGTCTCCATAGTACATCAAACTTATTTCAAAAGAAATTATTTTTTTTACATTTTAAAGTGCATATTGTATTTTCAGATTTGTCCTTTTTATATTTGTGTATGTAAACAGAAGTCAGAATCAGAGGAGAGCGAGTCTCTGAAGCCACATGTTAAGCTGCGGAGGAGTATATCTGAAGCCCCCCGATCGGCCTCCACCCCTCCGACCATCGCTGGTGGAGAGCGAGAAGAGGGCGACGATGACAAGCTAGCAGCTGAGCTGGAGGTGAGCACATGTTTTACCTGAGGAATCACATCAGACCGTCTGTGCCCTAACGGCTGAAGTGTTAATGTTGGTGATTAATGTCCATATGCCATAAGCACCAGATGTGTCTGCTGTACACCCACAAAGCAATGCAATTACGTTCACACGCACATTCATACACACATAGGTGGGTTCTACCATTTGGATGGTTTGCTCATTCATTAAGCACACATTAGCAGGCAGGAGATCTGAATTTCTGTCTGTGCTCGTTGGCTCATGACCTATTAAGCTCAAATGAGTGGTTTGACGATGTCTTGTGCTGTACTGATGTAAAGTGCTGTTAGTTAAGCACTAGTGAGTGTATTGTGGGATACCGCTTGTGTCTAATTTAACTGTACATAGAATTACCAAACCATAACACCTAAAATATGCCACATCACTTACCCATATACTTTATTTCTAGATGAATTAGTAGCTTCAGAGCAGGATTATGCACCACTCCAGTTGAATCCCTTCTACGTATCAATTCTATTTCAGAATTTGAAGGATGCAGAGTTGTAATTTGAATTAGAATTTTTGGAAGTTGAATAGAAATGGAATGAAATACAAAGAAATGTATACACCTGCTCTAATAGTTTTAATATTATATATATATAATTTTCATAAATAATTATTAATATTGTGTACGGCTAAAAAAAAATGTCTCTTTTTGCCACTCATTGGGCGTAACCGCAGTCCCTCCGGCCGAGAGTGACGCCCCGTGCATACCCTCTATTGAAGTATTAGTCTTTCAAAACAAACAAACCAACCAACAAAAATCGTACAGACCCCAAACTTTTGAACGGCAAAAGTATTTATATAAACTGTATGGAAAATTTTAAATAAATAAATTGTTTTTCAAAGATTTTTAGAGTTTAGAGAAATTACACATATCTAATGGTGCAGTTATTCATCACAAAACTTTTAAAGGACTGTGCTAAATTTCTTTAAACTGCAATTCCAAAACTATCATTCCAATTTAGCATCCTATGTACTACTACTACCAATTCAAATTCCAACTTTTGCCCAATTCTGCTTCAGAACATGCGGCAAATCTTTTAATGTATTGATGCACAATTAAATTCTAAACTTTGTCCCCAGCCGTCTCTATTTACATATTATCATTTTGCCAGGAGTTCACTACAGTGCATTTCTCCTGACTGACACCACTTGAGCTGTGTTGGTGTTGATTTTAAGCTTCCTTGACCTGCTTCAGGGCAGAAACACAAACAAACACTGACACACAAATTGCAAGGCTCATTAACACCAAGTAGACAGATTTTGTTATCTTGGTTGACTGGATGACAGGTTAAGCGAGCAGATGTCTCTTGTCCTCCATCCCCACTGCATTTCTCTGTTGGAGACCTGTGGAGATCTGAGCACTGCTGCAGTGACACCATGCCGACCTCCCTCTCAAACCTAATGAGCCTCACAAGCTGCATCTCAAAACAAACCCATAACTCAATAACACAATACTCTACATTAAGCATTGATGAATAAATAGCTGAGCTACAAGGTACAGTGTGTAATTTCTGGTGGTAGGACATGTTCCACCCAGTTAAAGGGATATTGAATGATGGTATTTACAACCCTGAATGTAAATGTGTATGTCCTTAATGATTTACTTTCAGAGTCTCTTGAGCTTTTCATGAGGAATCCTGTTTGAACTGATATTGTGTATCCCATATTTTTTCATTCAATCTCTTCAATCTCCCTGAACGCTCAGCTCTTTGAGCGATATCTGATTCCCCCCCTGCCCTCTCCCAGGAAACACCCTCCTCCCTCTAGTTTACAGCTGTTGCCCCATCTGCCCTCGGCTGGACAGGTAACAGCCACTACTGCAAGCTATTGTGGACTGCTGTTGTACACTCATGCACACTCACACATGCATCTATAGTTTACCCCAAATGCTCAAAGTGTCCCTCTGAAATGTTAGTCATGCTCAAATATAGAGATATGCTCTCAGGCACACACTCACACACACAAAAACAAACCAGGAAGATATTCCCACATCACAGTGAGCACAATCACAATTAAACATTCACCACCTATAAAGTATGCGTGTGGCCTTGCTAGTGCATGTCTGCTTTGTGTGTTGAAATGCCCAATTTCCTCTGATATTTTATTGTGGTAGCACTCACACAGATTTCTGAATGTTGCTGTTTTTAAATTTGTATATGAGCACAGAGGCAAACCTCTGTGATCTTTTAAGGGATAGTTAATCTAAAAATGAATGTTTTGTCATTAACTCAATCTCATGGCGTTCCAAACCCGTATGACTTCTGACGGAAAAAAGTTTGTTTTATTATATTAAAGCATAAAACTTTTTTGTTTTATTATGCTCTTTACTGTACAGCTAAAATGATTGGGGACTGAAGGTAAAAAAAAGTAGTCCATAAGACTCAAGGACTATATTTCAAGTCTTCTAAATCCATTATACTTTTAATACTAAACGTTATAATGCTTTTGTGTGGTGAACAAACCGACATTTAAGTTAATTAAAGAAATATAGCTGAGTTAGATATGTCAATAAATCAGCTAATCCGATTCACAAAAATAGCCTCTCAACTCCCTGACTCAACGATACAATCACAGTGTTTAACAGCTCAATGGAGGCAAAGATTATCAGTGAATAACAGTAGATTTTAGTAATTTCCTCACAAAACAAGACTATAGCATGTCAAATGGACTATTTTTGGACTACTTTATGGTGCTTTTGCATTTTTCGAAGCTTGAAGACATGGTAATTGCCTTAAAAAAGAGTGACTACAACAGTCTTCAGAATGTGTACCACTGATTTTGACCGTCATGAACGCAAGTAAATGATTACACCGTTTTTATTTCTGAGTGAACTATTCCCTAATGTGTTTGCATTTTTATGTGTTTTTATATCACTTTGTATCTCTAAGTGTGCTATGCTATTATGTACCAGCAGCCGACTGCATCTCAGTCTGGTTTACATGAACACTCCAGTGATTTTACAGAGAAACCTCTGGTAAGAGGCTCACATTTGAATCTCATACTTTTATGAATCACATTTTAGGGTTAATTATACAAATAACTCCTGCTATATTTCAGATGCAGCATGAGATGACCTCCAGTCCAGTTCCCCAGATAGTCTTGACTGAATGTAACTCTCTCCCCACGTCTCCTTCTGAGGACTCAGCACAGACCAGACCGTCTGACAGTGCTCAGACGAAAAAAGACAATAACACTGGAAACGACATCAGAGTAAGCTACTTCAGCCACATTGTGAGGACTCCCCGTCTGTCGCTGTGGAAACAAGACTTGACAACCAGCCAAAAAGTCCCTCGGATACAAGACTTGGATGCTGCCCAGAGGGAACTTCAGAGTCCTGTCCAGGATGTGACCCAGTCGTGTCCGCCTTTAACAAGGGAGAGGGCAATTAAACAGCCCCTGAAGAGGGAGCCACGGGTTCAGGAGTCTCTCGAGGCGGCGACAGAACCGAAAGACGAGCGAAAGAGAAAGTCGGACACTACATTGTCTGTCTTGCAGCAAAATGGGCCCGTAGAGACATCTCAAGTCGGTTTGATCCGTACTCAAGGCGTTGGAGGGGAAAAAGAAGACATCTGCCACAGCACGTACCGTCGACTGGACAGTCTGGAGGACACCATCCGTGAGCTGGAGCTCAGCCTGATGGAGTTCAGCACTGATCCTCACACAGGAGACTTCTTGCCCACGTCTGCCCAGACGCAGAGTTCCTCCATCCAGAGATCCGGCAGCCCTCGACATACAGAACAAAACCATAGAGACGGAGGAGAAACAAACAAACCCATTGTCCCACCCAAACCGTCCTGCATCAGTTCATCCACAGCCAAGGTTCAACCTAGCCTTCAGTATCTCTTTCATCCCTGGTCTTTCTTTCATTCTTTCAATCTTCTCGGCTATCTTTCTTCCTCTCTGGTGGAAAGGTTTTGGTCTCTTCTGCTGGGTTGCTCAACTAGATCAGTTTGTGCTGTTTTTGCAAATGCTTTGATAAATTGTTTGCCTCCAGCCTCTGTAGAAAAACTTATTGTATCTTTCGCACAATAAATTCTCTTGTTTCCTCCTCTTCTTCATTAGCCTAACTCTTTTTTTTTTTTTTCTTAAAATGAGTTTGCAATTTGATTACTTCCCCCTTGTCTTATTTTCCTCTGGTACATTGGACATTTTTATGTGGTTTTCTCTTAAAATAAAAAGATAAAGTCCAGGGTAGCTCTTCGAAACTACTCAAGTGATGTTGCACAATTTATGTGCTATTGTCTTCTCTCGCATTTGTCTTCGGAAAGTAGTGCAGGGTAAACCACCTTTTAGTGAGCGTGATACGAAGCAGCAATCCACCAGACGTCATGCGTATTACTCAGCTCCGCTGAGAACACAGCTGATCTCTGTGAGTGACAGAAGGGAAGGATTTGGACGATGTCACTTGTGTTTTCCACTGCGTTCCTCTCAGCCCACACATTTGTACACAAGCCAGCATTGCATCATCCCTCCTAACCATGGTGTTCGAGCCCCTAGCTCTAGGTCGATGCATGCTGCTTTCGTAGGACAGATGGAGCCTGGCAACCATAGGTCCACATGATTGCAGGCATTAGCTATGTTTCCATCCACACGTTTTTATCCGCATTAAGTGATATCGAATGAAAAATGCCTTATGGAAACAGTAAAATTGAATTAGATTGAATTTCATGAATATCGACTCAAATGAAATACGATCGGTCTCATCGGATTTTATCTTGATCGATATACGGCTTATGCGATAAACGTGGATGGAAATTGCGTTTCCAAAATGGTGCGATCCATTTTGCCTAGTAAAACTTTGTTCGCAAATGTTGGCTTGAATGTTGTGCAATTCGGTGAGAAAATGAATGGAAACACCTTAACATGTCTCAAATCAATTCGATATACCAATTTGATCGCAAAACAGCATGTGACGTCATTACGCACAGGTTTTTATCCGCTTTAAAGCCGTTTGATGGAAACACACTTTCACCAGCTTTATTCGCATGAGGTTTTTTACCGAACTTCAGATAATTCGATTGACAAGTGGATGGAAACATGGCTAGTATATCCTCTTACAGAGCCCCTCGTTCAGTGATGCGCTCATTTGCATAAAACACAAAGCTAATGGACCTCCTTGAAGCTTTAAAAGGACTGTTGGCTGGTTGTGACTCTGGTCTAGTGTATGATCATGTGTAGGTAATATATGAAGAGCAAGGAAGGACTAGAGAAAGTGGTCATTAGTGATTTATTGAGAGCTTTTGTCAACTTTGTGCAGAAGTAATAGGATTGATCATTTCTGAATTTAATACAAGAAATCACAGGTAATAATATGTGCGTATGAAAGACAGAGAGGACTGCGCTGAGATGCTTGCATGTGTTCTATTAAAAACACATCACCCTCTTGTACTGTTCTCCTCCTGCACTTCCTCTGACTGCCAGTGATTGCAAAAACACTGTTGGAAATTTGATGGAAATGATTTACCAAATATTGTACACAGAACATCTGTTCTTCTCTCTTGTCCATCTCAGACTGGTGGTGCTAGAGCGCTGTCTCGTCTCAAGCATCTGCAGCAAAGCGGATCAGAAAAGGTCAAAACAAGCAAACAGAGAGATGAATTCCTTAAGAACCAGGGTCAACAACAGGTATGATCTATCTGTTTATCTAGCTATAGTTCTTTCTATAATTCTGTCTACTGTTCTATCATTGTATCATTCTATATCATTTTGTCATTCTATCTATTGTTCTATGGTTCCATCCATCTATCACGTCTGTCTGTCAGTGTGTTGTTCTATCTAACATTCTCTCTAATGTTCTATTGTTCTATACATTCTATCTATCTAACGCTCTATCTATCATTCTGCAGTCTAAATCTATTTAGGCCTAGTTATCTAAGTTAAAATATTGAACTTGGTTTAAGTCTTGTTTTAAGTCTTAGTATTAGTTTTGTCTTAACTTAACTCAGTCTTAAACGGATTTAGTCTTCTTCTTAGACTTACTGCTGTGTTAGTTTGTATTATTTAAAATAGTATGCTGAAAGCTATAGATAATTTTCTGCTTGAAACCAATTCCAAACGTCTGTCTGAAGGCATTTCAGTCACAGTCCATAGCTCAGACTATGCTGAGACCTTTTAGGAAGTGTGTGCGTGCGTGTGTGTGTGTGTGTGTGTGTGTGTGTGTGTGTGTGTGTGTGTGTGTGTGTGTGTGTGTGTGTACACGTGTGTACGTGTGTGTACATGTGTGTACTGTGTGTGTCAGTCACAAGTGAAGTGAGGCTGGGAGGGAACTTTTCTAGCATTGCTGGGAGTGGCGCTGTGGTGCGTCAATCACAGAACATTTGGGACTCTAAAGTGCACTTAAAACCCCCTAACAGAACAAAGAAACCAGAGACAGGTGGGCCTCAGGAGAAGGGGGAGAATGGAAGCATGAAGCCAGAGAATTGGGAAATGTGAGCTCTACAACATAAGCCAAGTGAATGAGACAGGTGGAGAAAACAGGGGAGGTTTGAAAGATGGATTAGAGGGAGAAAAAGACGCACACATACACAGACAGCTGAGGGCCTGTGTGCTTTAGGTAAGGAGAAGATAGATATGCTGGTGCGCTGTAAATCTCCTTACTCAGTTTAATAAATCTGGCCCCTGTTCAACAGGCCATGAATATTAGAAAAGAATCTAATCTTTTATGGGGAAGGAAGAGAGAAACAGATATTGGCAAGAGAACGAGTGAGATCAGAGGGTTCAGTTCTAAGCTGGATATGATCAGGGTTTAGACTTGTCAGTGTAACAGCTAATTAAGTGGACTGCGTATATATCTCCTTTTTGTCTTAACTTTCCTAGCTGCTAATGGATACAAACATTTATGTACATTGTACACACATCTTTTCACCCAGACTCATTTCATTTATTCCTTTTTTTCTGCACGCTGTGCCTTTTGATCCACATTTAATTCAGTTTTCTACTCTAGCCTTCTCTGAAAAGACTTTATCTTTCAAATTATTGCTGTCCCTGGCTGCTCACATAGATGAAAAGTAAATCAACACATCATTGCTCCACAAATACTTAATACCATCTTTATTGGTCTAATTCACTTGCTGTTTCTGACCTTGTCTTTATTAGACTAATTGTGAAGTGTGAACTGAGTGAAAATTAAATGTACACTAAAAGTTTAGGCTCAGTAAGATTTTTCAAAAAGGTCTGCATTTAGTTGATCAGCACTATAGTATTATTGTTCTGTAATACATAAAACAGTAATATTGTGTAGGCTACAATGTATAACAACACCCCTGTTTTCTTTTTTAATATATTTTAACATTTTTAGCAGCCATTATTCTCTTCAGAATCAAATGATCCTTCATCTTTTATTGTCAATAGTGAAAACAGTTGGGCTGCTTAATATTTTTGTAGAAACTGTAATATATTACAGCCAAATAAAAAGGAATTTTCTCAAATTTAGTAAAAAAAAAAAGCCTTATGTTACACATATTTCTTTAATGTTTTTTATCTATATCTCAATTTTTTTATTCAGATTGCAAATTTTAATCTCCAACCATACTTGTGTTCTCTGGGGACTTTTTGAGAAGGCTGGGTGAAAAGGAAAAGAGTGAGAGAAATGAAAGAGAGGGAGAAGGTTAAAGGGGAAGAGAGATACAGGCGATAAAGAGATGGAGAGTCTTTTTCTGCTCTATCAGGGTGGAATAATTGGCACTTCATGTGGAAAGACCCAGGCTCTCTGGGCTCTCTATTCACCCCCATCACTCTTCTCTTCACTCCTTTTATCCGTCCTGTCCATCCATCTCCCTCACAACTGCTTAGAGTTTGAGCAGATCTCGGTCGAACACTTTCAGATTCCTGTCACACAGGAACCGAAAGAGTGTTTGTGAGTGACTGATGGAAATAGAAATGTGTATACGCTCATGTTCAATAAACCCATCAAGATTTTGTGAATGGTCAGTTTCTTCTAGCATAGTGCATTGTGAGTGTTTTAAATGTATGTGGATTCGCCATTATGTGATGAAATCCACACGTAGAATTGTGTACCAGGCTAGCATCATGCATGAATGATCCTAACCTGAATAACGTTGTCCTGTGTTTGTCTTCCTCCCATCCTCCCCTTCTTCCTGCATTGTCCTCTGTCACCGCTACCTGCCTGCGTGTTACCTGCCATCGTTTCGTCGGCCCTCATGGCAACCATTCACGCCCAACCCCTCAACCCAGTGAGCAGAAGTTAGCGACCCAAACCAACCTGACCTGACTAAGGCTTGTCCACCTCCTCCTCTGCCGTCTTCACCACCACTTCTTCATCAGCATCTCCTGACTGAAGCCTACAATCCTTTACCCAGTTCCTCCTAGTCGATCCTATATAGGTTTAAATGGCCTAAAACATCATGCAGTTGTCAATATTCTCCAGAGCCTCATTCATTCCTTAGAGAAACTGTCTTGTGGGAGAGATTAATGACACATTACAGCTAAACCAAACCTTAAACATCACGCAAAATGTTTTTATTCTTAGTTTTTATGCTCTGTTTCTTCTCTGCCCACTCTTTTGTCCTTTATCCCCTCACTTTGCCTTCACCATCCGTTCCCTCAGGCTCTAAGTCTGAACATCAGCAGAGCCAGAGCAACAGAGTCGCTCCTCGCAAGCACCAGAGCCGCTAGCTTCTCTGGCCACCTGCCTTCCAGATTACGGAAGTACCCCCAGGAGGTGGCGCTGTCCTCCTTGACTGCCTCGTCCAACCAGGCCAAAGCACTTCTGGCTGGCCTTTCCGCGTCCAGCCTCTCAGCCGAGGCCCTCCTCCTCTCGTCCACCTTCAGACACCACCGGTTACTGAGAGAGAAGAACTTCGACTCCTCAAGCCTTCCTCTTCCCATCTCCAATGGCCGCTCCCCTCTCTCTCCGACCTCACCCACGTCTTCTTCCTCGCCCTCATCACCCTCAACTCTCACCTCTCTGAGTCTGTCCTCGCTGGCCCTAAAACCCTCCGCCATCCACAGCCTGGAGTTTGACAGGGAGCGGAACAAGACTGAACCCAAGACGGTGACTCGGGATGACATGGAATAAGGAAGGGCGGTGCTGGAATTGTTTCATATATAGGATGCAGACAGCACAAGTAGATGAAATGAAATGCAACTGACCTAAAAGACAGTTTTGTGGGGCTTAGATTCTGTAGCTTTTGTTTCTGACTCCCTTACCAAGACAACTTGTGGATAACAGAGATGTGGTGCACTGAGACAGATAACTCGTTCTGCCTCGTGGGTTCCCTTTTCTCTAGTTTGTGAGCAGATCCAAACTGTAAACCCTACCTACCATGCATTTCTGCCAGTTCCCCAAGTAGAGAACCAACAGATGGGCTTGGACACTCACCACCAGCCGTCAAGCTCCACTGCGCAGCCAGCATCACACCACCCACGGGAGGCCTGGGGAAGGACTCTTTACCCAAATCCTCATTCATTTGCCAAATCTCACATGTTGGAGATCTAGCTGAGTTCGGTAGATGTCCATCAAGTGTAAAATCAAGACTGTAAGACTATGTAAAACCAAGTAGAGTTGCAATAATCGAAAGTGAGTACTGTAGTAGTTGGTGTTTGTTGAGACGTTTTATTGCTCATATCTATATCAACAAAAGGAATGTTAAAAAAAAATACAGCAAAAACTTAATGTGAAGGCAACATCACTCGTTCTAATTGTAGATTTTGGCTATCAGTCGTACTGCTAAAGGAAAATAACTGAAATTGGTGCTATGATTAACATTTTGCTGATTATACACTCCCTTAAAGGGATAGCTCACCCAATAATGAACATTCTGTCATGATTTACTCTTAGATTGTTCCAAACTTTCCGAATTTCTATTTTTATTTTTTGTCCGTACAGTGGAAATCGATGGGTGTTGTTTTGGACCCCATTGACTTTCATTGTGTGGTCAAAAAACATTCTTCAAAATATCTTCTTTTGTGTTCCACAGAAGAAAGTCATACAGGTTTAGAAAGACATGGGGGTGAGTAAATGACAGAATTTTCATTTTTGTGTAAAATATCCTTTTAATGCACATGCACTGCCTAAGAGTCAAATTTTATTCTCAAATAGGTCTTCATACAGCAATTTTACATGTTTGTCGTGGCAAAAGAGGAATTGTTGGAAACTGGAAGCCTGCTTACTTTCTATAGTATATTATGGGATTTACTTTCTATAGTTTATTATGAGGTTTTGGTGCTGTTTTTTCAAGTTCTTAACTACAGTTTCCCTATGTAAGGACATATTTAGGATACATCCCTAGTTGTCATTAAAGAAGCACACCAGGTTTTAGAGGCTAAAGTACAATGGTCTGACAATCATCAAACGTTCGGCACAAGCTGTCTTAACCTTTTGGCCTCCCAGATTGCGAAATTTAATTCCAATATAAAATGAACAAACAGATGGTTAGGTTCACCGTGTAGGGGTTGCACAAGCAAGAAGACTGAGGGTAATTCCACGGCAAGTGAACCATCGAGTGGAAGACATCTGTGCGCTAGAGCATTCCAACAGAGCAATCCTTTTTCCAACCCTTGATTACTTTTCTATCAAAACCACAGACAGACAGATCATTTTAGGAAGGTAATTGTGTGCCAGTTTATGATTAGCTATGGGGATACAAAAATGTCACTACTTAAATGTGTCTGGTTATGTTGCATACTGAGTGGTTTTTTTTTTTTTTCATTGATGCTCTGGTTATGCCCGCTCATCTTTTCTTATTATTCCAGTTCTCGTGACAGACACACACACACACACAATGTTAAAGCTTTTTTTCCTTCTCATAAGGATATTCCTATGTTGGGAAGTTGTCAGTGCCACAACCTGCAGGTTTCCTCAGAGAATTTAAATTAGAAAAGGTGAGTGAGAGCAGAATAGAATGAGTTTAAATAGAGGAAAATGGGAGATTTTTCCAGCTTTCTGACAAAATGAATGTGTGAAATTGATTGCTCGTGGTGCAGGGTTTAAAATAATGGCTTAAGCACTAGGTCGACAGCGAGAGTAAATGGCCAGAGAGAGAGATTAGTGGTGTTACTCCGTGTCTCGCAGCCAAATTGGCCAGTAATTCATGTCCGAAGTTCACAATGATTCACATGGGAGGTGCTGTGAGAGGCAAAAAGGTCAAGCGTAGGCTGTTACATGCATGGAAACGTCTTCATTTAAGGCATGGCTTGACAACTGCGTTGTTTGAATGTAACATCTGTGAACGAAAGAGAAAAGCAATGCTTTTATTTGTAATTCATGTCTGGATTTGATAGTTACATTACAAGTTGAACAACCAGGTGGCTCACTGGTTTGCTAACTCCTTAAAATCACATTTGTCCAAAAAGATTGAAACTTTTCTTGATTTTTGCTCCAGATCTTTCAGACTCTAGATCTTTTTCAGTCCTGTCTGGAAAGTTGCCAGTAAGCAACATATTCACAGCTCTTCTGCTAAGGGCCTATTTAAAGACCCAGACCAAACTAGTAGTACAAAATAGCAAATGAGACGAATTTAGCAATTCATGCTGCAGTGAGCACACTCAAACGATCAAGACGTTACTCTTGTGGCTACGATTTCTCAGAAACGAGAAGTGGGTTTCATGCTTGAATGGAGAGGCTAAGAATCTACAGTACTTCCTCTTAGTATGTGAGCTAAGAAAATACTTTCTTGACCGCCTCAGAGACTGCGATGAACACATGTAGGAAGGTGGTGAAATCTCCCTTTTGTAAAAAAAAAAAAAAAAAAAGATCTTTCTCTCTCAAAACATGGGAAGACATCAGCTCACACATGATATGTACATCTTAAAAGTTAGTCATTTATTTTTCACTCAACACAGTTAGTAAAAATGTATGATGCGAGATTTGCGTTTGTATATTTTTTGTTCATTGGTTTTATATTAACTGAGATTTATTTGTACATATTTTTGTTTTTGTAATCCTGAGGAAATATATAGCACACTAGAAAATTATTTATTCACAAGAGAAGTGTTTTGTATATTGAGTTGAAAATATGACTCTGTACAGCCCAGTTCATGTACAATGTATAGCTGCATTTTAACCACAGGTTTATAGTTTTGTTAATTATAATTTTATGAGTTGTTTTAAGTGTTGGGTGAATCTGAAAAAAAAGAAGAAGAAAAAAAATCCTGCCAGCCAGTCAAAAGAAATGAAGTAATGTGATCCGGGTGGAATCTGGTTTATTGCTGATACTTATGAATCTCTATTGTGACCTGAGAATGTTATTTTCTAACCGTTCATTTGTTGCTTTGGGTGAAATTAACAAGTTGGAAATAATGGCACATGTAAATGAAATGGCACAGCACTCGTCTGCCCTCTAGTGGAAGGGAGTAAGTCTGCAACTTCATTGCTTATCGTGTAGTTTCTCAGTGAGACAGAGGTTTAAATTGAGTCAATGTTCGAATGCCTTGGTCAGTGAAACTTCAGTGCTTACGTGTTTCTGACAAAATCTGCAAATTTTGACTTGCAGGTTGGAGTTTTCCCCCTTTGGAAAGACAGCAGGAATTAGGAGCTTGATGCTTCTGCTAGTTATAGACTATGTATATCTGGTTTACTTGGCCAAAAATAACACAGAGTAATTTGGAGAAAGCACATTCTTTGTTAAATGCTCTATGATGGAACGACTTTATGTAGAATATTTTACCAGAGCTCTCTAGTCCCTTAAGTGAGATTTTTCTACATGAATGTGTGGATGTTACAAAATTCTGACATCAAAGAATAATAATAAAATACTACAAAACGGTAAAAGAAAAAAGAAAGATAATAAGACTATAACATGTAAATAAAATCGTAATTATTAGAGTCCTACAAAATTATGTCCAGAAAAAAAAAGTTTTATTTAAAAGATGGAATTATAAGCTATATATTAAAAGTTTAAAAATACTAAAAACAATAATTATAGCAATGCATGTACATACTAAAAGCAATCGCACGGTGCAGATGATTTTAAAAAACAAAGTTATCTACATGTTTTTTTTTTTTAAAGAGTCAACGGAGAGAAATAGTGAGATCAAGTGCACTGATATGAGGTTCACAGCTGTAGAGTCGAAGTAGGAAAAAATGACTTTTTATATGTCTGATATCTTTGTGGCTCAGGCATGTCCAGTCTTACTGTAACCTGTGGTGATGTGGTAACCAGACTTGATTGGCAAGCTCTGAGTGTGTTTTACTGAATGACTTAATGACATGAGCTCAATGACTTAAACTCAGCTCTAAACATCAACGCTCCAGTAATGGTGCGAGCCCTTTACCCACGCTGTGACCCTCCCATATAGACTAGAGTAATGTACCAACTGAGAATCGCTCTATATACAAATAAGATATATAAACACCTATAGATACAGAAGAAAATGAAATTAATTTGTCAGTGTGGATGCCATGATAACTTTGTGAGAAATGTGACTTTATTATTTTTTCCTGTGAGAAAATGTTGAGAGCTGATACCTTTTGTACATACTTGCTGTGGTTGTGTGTAATAAAGTACAGCTCTCTTCTACGACAACATTTACACTGTCTTTTTTTTTTCTATAAGAGCACACAATATATATATAAAATATGTTTAACTACTGTACAATTTTTTAACCTTTGACTTTAAGAATTGTTTAAAAAAATGATTTGTATTTCATATATAGACTGTATACAAGTATTGTTGTCATCTTTGAGCACAATTTCATTAGCAAAATTATGAACATTTTAGCTCAAGTAATTGCTCACATTCACAAACAAATGTGATGGTACAAAATAATTTTTACACCTTATGTACAATTCTATTATGATGATGGCTTTTAACAGATTCTCATTTTAAGAGCATGTAATGTGTTTGTGTTTCTGTGCATTTTCTGCAAATGTGTGTTTGTTTGTATGTATGTGTTTGCCAGAGTTATTTTCTCACAGCACAGATTGAAAATATTTTAATATATAAAGAATAAGACCAGGTTTTTATGTACAGAAGTGTCCAGCGGGAAGGAGAGAAGTATGGTAACCCTCAGTTGTCTTGTCGTGGAGCTGCTCTCCGACCATCACCTCTTCTGTAGGGTGAATTTCTTAAATCTAATAACACACAGAAACATGGGGAAAAAATGTAGTCTTCCCATTCAGGTTATTACACATTATATATAAGATATTCAATCTACCTGACCTAAAATATAGAATAGTTGAAGTAGGTGGCAAATCACCCT